ACACACACACTCTCTCTCCCCCCCGCCCCCACCTGTCCTGCCTTGGCCCCCGCCATCAGTCTTGCTGCCCGGTTGACTATGGCGCCGAAGTAGTCTGCACGTCCCGTGGTGGCGTGAGGAACCACGGATAAGGGGACGCCCGTGAAGATACCCACCTTGGCACGGAAGCCCCTGGGGAGGGGGGGAGGGAGGGAGGGAGGGATGTGCGGGTGGGTGGGATGTGCGGGTGGGTGGGATGTGCGGGTGGGTGGGATGTGCGGGTGGGTGGGATGTGCGGGTGGGTGGGAAGTGCGGGTGGGCACCTTGGCACGGAAGCCCCTGGGGAGGGGGGGAAGGAGGGAGGGAGGGAGGGATGTGCGGGTGGGTGGGATGTGCGGGTGGGTGGGATGTGCGGGTGGGTGGGAAGTGCGGGTGGGCACCTTGGCACGGAAGCCCCTGGGGAGGGGGGGAAGGAGGGAGGGAGGGAGGGATGTGCGGGTGGGTGGGAAGTGGGGTGTGGGGTGTTTGGGTGTGGGACGGTGTGAAAAGTGCAGGGAGGCGGGGGTAAGGTGGTCAGGGAGTGGGAAGGAGCGGCGGCGAGGGAGAGGAGAGGAGGGGAAGAAAGGAGAAAGGAGGAGGAAAGGCGAGGGAATGATGTTGGGAATGGAGATCCAGACCCGACTGACGTGTTGGAAATTGAAATGGGAGAATGGAGGAAGGAGGCCGTATTGGAAATACGTGGTTCAGGGAGAAGGGCCAGGATTAATGGGGATGGAGTGAGAGCTCAATCGGAGAACTCAGCAGCCTGCAGATATCTGTCCCCTCCTCACCTCATGAGCAGCCGGCCGTCGGCGCCGAGCGTAAGTCGACCCGAGCTATGTTCAAAAAGATCAGACGGCCAATCCGCCTGTGGTTGCCGCCCCGATTCACGGCAGCAGCAGCAGCAGCAGCAGCAGCCACAGCAGCAGCAATGGGTTTCAGCTGACTAGTGGCAGGACTGTCAGGATCAGCAGCAGTGCTGGCCCTGTTAAGGCTTTCAGTTTGCATTAATAGGGTTTTCGGGTTATAGGATTTTAGGGTTTTAGGGATCTTTGGGGAAGGAACCAAGGATGCCTGCAAACAGGCTTCGCAAGGGGTTATACAGTTCGGGATCTCTACAACTCGATCGAGCCAAAAGAGAGAGAAGGCAAAGAAAGGCAGAATTTAGAGGTGTATCAGAGCAGTAGGAGGTAGCGCTGGCTGCCGTGGCTGCCCTGCAGCTGGCCAAGGGCACCGTAAAGTAAAAAATATTGTGCTGTAAATGATCACAGCTTACAATACACACCATGTATGATCTCACCTGGAGTAGCCACTCTTGCAGCGCCAGCCCCGCCTCCGCCGCCATCCGTGGGTTGTTGCACGCCACCATAAACGTGCATTCGTACTCCTGGCACTCGTACACGCCGTACATCTGCAGCAATTCCCGTACAGCGGCGCAAAATACAGCACCGCTGCGCTCTGCGACCTCGAGGTTGGCATTTGCGACTGCGGAGTAGCCGGCGGGCTGTATGAACATGAGCGACAGCCTCGGGAAGGAGGGCGGCTGGGAGGGAGGGCACGGAAGGAGAGCCTACGGGATACCAGCAGCAGCAGCAACCGCAGCAGCGCACAGGGAGACATCCGGGATTTGTAGACCTAGGTTAGATGGTTGGTCTAACGTTTCAGAACTGAGTGAAGTGTGGTGGCAGCTGGCTTTGGTAGTCTTTCACGTGGATTACATGAACTCCTACACCCCTACATTGTACGCCACGGCACATGCACAAGAATGCAAGTTTCATGTAGGGCCGCTCTGAATTCGTTTTTTTCCTTTTTTTGGGCCCACCGTTACATGGTTGGATAGATGACCACACCTGGCATGGAGCAGTTTCATGTAGTCTTGATGAAAGGTGGGAGGAATTGCAGTTTATGTATTTATCCATACCACATGTCACCGACATGCAGAGATATCCGGGTGGGAGAAGCAGAAAGTGCTGGTGGGGATGGCGCTCCCATCCTCTTCCCCACCAGGTGGGGATGGGAATGGGATGATGATGCGGCGATGGGGACGGCATCATCTTGCTGCTGCACGATTACCGAACTGTGAAGGTATGCACTGTCGACATCTCCCGTCACCACGTAGCAATCCCTGTGTGCCCCAAACTGCACTTCCACTTTCGTCCTGCTCCACATTCTAAGACATTCTGCGGCCTGCAGAGCCCACCCAACCACCTCGCCCCCCTCGCCACCCTCTCATATTACCTGCGCTGCGCCTGGTGCATCAAAGAACCCTGGCGCCAGCTGCGCCTGTGACTTGAGTGGCGGGTGGTAGGCGGCTCGGTGCTTGAGGTGTGCGGGAAGCAGCTGGATCACCTGCGGACACGAGTGAGTGAGTGAGGGAGTGAAGATGTGCGTATGTATGTCAGCATATGCCAGCATGCGACATTCACATGTTGGCCTTAATACATGTTGGCATGACTACAGGAGATTGTCGTCCACCGCACACGCGGCCCTCTTCTGACGTACGCTTTTACATACCTGAACACCGTCGTACACATCACCGTACGCCGGGCCCAGCGCCGGCAGCTGCAAACGGTGCACACCCATGTCGATGACTAAGAGTGCATGGCTGGCGATGTTCCGTTGCCGTACACCCGCGAAGCTGCGGTCATGGTGAAGTGGTGCCGGCTGGTGATGGGACGGCTGCAGTGATGACGGCGGCCGCGGCGTCGTTGAGGATGGGGCAGACAGGTACGGTTTTGGCGGTTCCGCTCCTGCCGGCTCCGAAACCGCAGCAGCATCTGCGGCGGGAGCGGCTGTGCGCGAAGTCCACGGGGTTGCGGGCCTCCTCTCCGCCTGCGGCGCTGCCCCATTTCCGCTTCGAAGCTTGGCCAAGCTGCAGATGCGATTGTTAAATTGAACAACAGACACCGAGCACACTACATGTTTGTACGTTTGTACGTTTGTACGCTGGTACACACATATATGTATGTGTTAGGCAGGTTAGTTACAAGATCACACTTCGAACCGCGCCTGTAGTAGCGAGGAAGGGCCGATGGAAGCCATGATAGCCACCCGTCACAATTCCTTTGATGGACTTGTGCACGTGCCTGTTAGGGTGTTGGTTAGCTGGTTGGTTGGTTGGTTACTATGTCGGTTGGTGGCGATAAGCAGCGCAATGGGAAAAGGCGCTCTAGCAAAGGACGTTTCCCATAGCCCTTACGTAAGGTACGGCAATACATCGCTCGTACACGTACTCGGCACCAGGGAAACCATACGCGCACGCACACCACACATTTGTGTGTCGCGCGTGTATCCTTCCTTACCCCATGGCCCCGAATATTCCGCTCTGTCGAGTGCCGATCAACACACGCACACACACACACACACACACACACACACACACACACACACACACACACACACGCACACACGCACACACACACACACACGCACACACACACACGCACACGCACACACACACACGCACACACACACCAAAACATACCTCCGCATGCTCCTCGTCTTGTCCCCAAGCAGTTTGTACGACAGCGGCGAACGGTATACTTCCTGCTCCGAAGGCACTGCTGTTGATGTGGGGACGTCGATCGCTGATCGCCGCCGTGCATGAACTCCAACGAACTCCGAGCCGCGAATCGAACCTGAACCGTGAATCCTAGGACCGGAATCCGTGTCCCTTGCCGCCGCCGGCGCAAGCACTATTGTGGATGTGGACGATACCGCGGTAGGTGCCGGGGCGGTGTTGTTGTCTCCACCCGACGGCAACGGCTCCGCGCCCTCAGATCTAGGTGGTTGTACATCCGGCTCTGCGAGGGACGATGCACTGAGGAGCCTTCTGGAAGAAACCGACGCGGAACGCTCCCATGCCATTTGCCCGGACGTCCCATGGGTCTGCATCAACCGGGGTCGGCGGAACAGGCTCAGGCCGCCGCTGGCGCGGCCCTCAACAATGGAGGGCCGCCGTACATGCGACAACCGGCGGGTGCTGACACGTTGTACGGCAGCCAAGATGCTCACGCCGTGGCTGTCAGTGGGATGCTCCTGGGAGGTCGTCTGGCCCGACATGGGTACGACTGGAGAGGGCATTGGATCCGGAGGCCACCGGAGAATGGAAGATGAATAGGGAAGTCGAATAGGGGTTTGGGATTCGGATAGGTTGGGCTTCCTTCAAGTTTGAAAGGGGTGATTTTTCCTGAATGTTGCTGCTGCTAATGATGACGATAATCAGCAGAATGATGACGAGGATAATGGGGCGGAGGAGGAGGAGGAGGAGGAGGAGGGCAATGGTGTGGGCCTGGATGCTGGGTGGACGTGTGGGAACGCTATTTGGCGCTTGGATTTACATCCCCTACAAACCCCTTCAACATGGTGTCTACTTATACCTGTCTAATACACACTCTCCTAAAGCTGCGTTGGCCCATGTAGGGCTGTGTTGGAGGCCGCCAGCACGTCAGCTCACGTAACTGCGTTATACGTTTCATGAGAGAAGAGAGAGCACCATCCAGAAAATAAAGTGCCCTCACATGTCCTTAGCGTCCCATTACCAGGATGCGTGCCTATCCCTGCATGTTGGTGTGTGTGTGCGTGTGTGCATGTGAAGGAGGGCGGTGCAGTTGCAGCCACCCAAAAGAGTCACAAGGGGAGACTCAAGGCATGTACGAAACCCCTATCTGATGATGAAACGGTCAACTAAATGCCGTACTATACTATCAAGTAAAGAAAAGAAAAGAGCAAACGGGAGCCCCAGCAGGTCGAAACGGATTAACGTGCAGCTTGGATCCAAATCGCAGAAGGGTTACCTTGCCGTGCCCTTGGGGTTTTCCAAAAGAGCTGGTAAACATTCAAAGAATCTATGAAACACATTCGACGTTTAAAATCGGGCATGCAACGCAGGGCCCTTTACACCCAGCCGCCCACAGGGCGACAACGATGAAGTCTTATATCCAGCTCCTAGACAATTCCAAATCTGTGTCATGCTTACCTCCTTGCGTGGCCGATTCTCTGTGCGGCTGTACGGTGGCCGAGTCTTCCTCCCCTTTGCCGTACACGGGCTCCAACGTCGAGAGGCTCCGTGTCCCACTGACATCTCCCGTCTCTACCCCTTCCGCCTCCTCCTCTCCTCCCTCCGGCAAATCCTCCTGGATTGTGGGGTGCGGTACAGGCGTACGGCATTGGCATAGGCCTCAAAAAAGGTTTCAAAACGACAACTAATCCTAACCCTTTGTAATAGCATTAGGGCTTCGAATACGGCGTAGGGCTAAACATATAATTATAATTAAGTAAGTACAATACTATCTATAATTATATACTGTTAAATAATAAATAATTGTTCAGCGTTTGGTAACATGTACACTTGATGTTGGCACAGGGACACATTTACAACAACTGAGGCGGTTGTGGGTTGAGTCGACCGCCCCCGACTGTCTGAACCACCGCCACCAGGCCGCCCTATCTCCCCGACCCACATTGTTTGCAAGGTCACGCGCCTCCTTGGCCGTCATGTTTGCACAGGAGCCAGTGATCTCCATCGCCATCGCCGACCGAAGCATTAGCATAAACCCCTCCCGGGAGTTTCGGACCGGTGATAACAACGCAGAAGCCGCTGGCGCAGCCACCGGAGGCGGCGGCGGCGGCAACGGTGACGGTCCCGATGCCGCGCCGCCGCCGCCGCCGCCGCCGCCGTGGGGCTCCTGCCAAAAGAGCGGCAGTGAGGCATGGCTGCTGCTGGCGCCGCCTCCGCCACCGCGATTGACCGTGCCGCCGCCACTGATGCCGCCACCCATATCAGAGGCGGGGTAGGAGACATGGGGCCCATGTGTGGGAACGGCTCCGAAACCGCCCCCTGTGTGTGCTGTCACAGATGGATTTTAAAGGGTCGAGGAGGTTTATTAAAAGACTCTGACGCCATGTCCGGGCCGGCTAATTGGGTGAGGAAATATTTAAAACTAAACCTTGCATCGTGCATTTGTATGCAACTCGTCCTACCGTACATGGTGTACACCGTACCTCCCTGCCGTACCTCGAGGATGAGCCCAGGCCGCAGTACTGCCCGCTAACCCATCAAGATCTGCAGCGCTCTGGTTGCCGTGCGCGGAGCGCCAGTGGTTCATGCCAGCGAAGCCGCTACCAATGGCGCTTGCGGCGTTCACCCCCGGTTGCGCTGCCGTACGTGGCGGCCGTGGCGGAGGGCCTGCCTGGCGGCCAGCGCCACCGGGACCAGCTGCCGCTGCCGCTGAAGCTGCAGCTGCAGCAGCCCCTGGTGCTCCTGCTCCACAAGCAGTGCCACTACCGCCGCCATTGGCAGCGGCGGCGGCGGCGGCAGCCGCGCTGATGGCAGTTGTACCGGCGAAGCCGCCAAACAGCGGCGGCAGCGAAGCCGCCGCAGCTGTAGCCGCAGGCGGCCCCGTCACGTCCGGGGCCTCCGCCGGCGTGCTGGCGGCTGTAGCAACCATCGCCACACCGACGCCGCTTTGCAGGTGCGCCTCCGTCGCGGCGGAGCCAGCGTCGCTGCCGCCGCGGCCCTTCATTGAGCCCAGCATCAGATGTCCTGCAAGCTGCGCGACGGACAGCCATCCGGTCATGCCAAGGCCACCGGCGATGCCACTACTGCCGCAGCCAGCGGTTGTACTGCCGGGCCCCGCCGGCAGCGCCAACGTCACGCTCTCATATGCACGACTCGCAATGGACCCCGCGACGGAACCTAACGGACCACCCACACGACGCCCAGCCACAGATCCCAGTTCCGTACTCCAGCCCGCCGCTGCGAGTGCTGCCGAGAGTCCGGTCAACGAACAACCGCCCGACGGCAGCATACAGTGCTGCTGTAACGACCGTGCTTGCACTGCAGGTGGCCGTGGTGACGACATGAACCTGCCCTCGTTGGCTGCCGGCGAATCCTCGATTGCGCCTGTGCCTGTGGCTGCGTCTGAAGCAGTGGACGTAACGGCGATAGCATCGTCTGGCGCGGATCGAGATCGGCTGCCGCCAGCGCTGCCGCCAGCGGCGGCGCCAGGGCCGTCGTGGTCAGCGTTGTTGCCAGCGGAGCTCCGGGAGTACGACGGCGGCGGCGGTGCCACGACGGGGGAGGTGTTCCCGGAGGCGATGTTGGAGGACGCAAGTCGATGAGGACTGGTGGCGGCGGGCAGGTGCGCTTGGAAGTGGGCTTGAAGATGTTGATAGAGGTGGTTGTGATGACGATGATGAGCGGGTTGAGGTTGGGGGTATGGTTGCATGTGAGCATGGGTGTGAGGGAAGGCGGCACGGAGGCTCACGTCGGGCTCACGCCTCTGCGACCCAGAGCTCGTCAGGTCGCAAGGCCATGCCGGCGTTGCGAAATCCATTGCAGCACCCATTCCGCCGCCGCCGCCGCCGGCCCCTCCTCCCGCCTCGCCGCCAGCACACATGCCCGCGGCTCCGTCGGCGGCCCGGCCACCTCCGAGTGCGGCTGTCAGCCCTAACGCCGACGGTGGCACATCCCCTACGCGCCTCAGCTGCTGCCGCCGCTCGCTAGTACTGTGCCGCAGATTGCCGTACATGGGCTCCGCTGATGACGTCGCCGTCGTGGCTGCAAGTGTCCACGGCACTGGCGGCGGCGCAGGTGGTGCCGGCAGCCGTGGATCCATTGCTTGCGGCTCGCGGTGCTGGCGCGGGCTGGTGGTGTCATGTTGTGCTGGTGTCCGTACCATGTAGGATGTGTGCCAACCGAAGTTGCGGGGAAGGGACTGGCCGCCGCCGCCGCTGCCACTGGCGGCGGCAGCGGCGGCAATGGCGGCGGTTCGGGAGTACGAGCCGACGTACGATGTCTGCAGGAGCGATAGACGGAACGGGGCATTGGCCAATGCAAGGCTTCATTGCCTTTCGCTCTACTCGGAGTAGGGTTCCCCCACACGTGGCGGGATCAAGCATGTGAAGCGAAGGATTAGGAGGTGGAGGGCGTATAAGGCTAAGGACATGAAGGGGTCAAGAAGATGACGGATTAAGGGCGTCACAAGTAGTACGGAGTACGACAGCACATGCCAGCAATCTGCAGCACCTTGTCTCACTGGGAACAGTCGTTGTTACCAAATTAGGCAACTGATGCCTCAACTGCCACATACCCCAAGAACGATATGTCTATGCCACCGCAATGGCGATTCCAACAATAGTAACGTCTGAAAGGAGCTGTACCGGCTTATTGAACACCTTCCAGAGACCAGCAGAGTTCAGTTCCGCACGTGGGTGTGTGATGTTGTAGTTCTTCCTTACCGGCAAAGTCACTGGAGGGACCGCCGCCGCCGCCGCCGCGGGCATTATGAACGAGGTAGACTTGCGGACCCCGCGAGGCACGGTGGTCGCGGCGGCATGTCGCGGCGCCGATGGCCGACCTAGTGGTACGGCAGGCTGAGGCGGGAGCGCCGCCAGCGATGTGGCAAGTCCGCCGCCACCGTCCCAGCCGCCGCCGCCAACACCAACCCCCATGCTGAAGTCCTCACAGTGCTTCACAGCCATCGGATAGGCCTTATGGCTGCCGGCAAGTTTCTGTACGACAGGCACGAAACTGAAACTTTCGGATCCCGCCGTTGCGGTCGCCGCAGCGGCGGCAGTGCAGCCACGTCGGGTGTGTGAGGTGGCGGTACCAGCGGCGGCTCTGCCGTCGCCGCATCCGCCTGGGTCCCCGTACATGCTCACTGCTGCATCCGCGGCGCCGCCGTCAATCCGACGTGGTGCGAGTGAGGAAGCCACGGATTGGAAGTCAATGGTCTGCATTGGCGATGTGCCCGGCGACGGCGGTGGTCCCAAGCCAGGTAGCGGACTTGCCCCTGCGCCGACTTGCCCCGCCGGTGGCTGCACGCCGGCATCCGGCAGTGACACCGTCGCCATCCCCGCCGACCCTGCCAGCGCCGCCGCTGCAATATATCGCGAAGACGAGGATGACGAAGTGTACGGCAGTATGCGCGGCGCCTGGAGTATGGTGGACAGGGATGATGTACGTGACAGATGTAAGGACTGGGTACCCCCGAAGCCTCCGGGCATCTGCATCTGTACCTGCTTAACGCTGACGTGGCGCCCTGGGGCGCTGGAACCTGCCGTACTCATCAGAATGTCGAGCAAAGTCTCGTCCTCGTCAGCATAGTTTTCAGCCGATGCGCTGGCGGAGGCGGTGCCTGTAGAGACGACTGCGGCAGCAGCGCGAGGGGCGGCTGCAGCAGCACTGCTAATAAAGGTTGTAGCGGCACGCGCCCCTAAGGCTGTGGTAGCCCCAGCGGCAGCGCTGCCGCTGCTGCTACAGCCTGGATCCGTCGAAAGGAATTGCTCCGGTTGTGAACAGCCATTGCGCGTCACGGCCGCTGCAGTACCGAGAGCGACGGCGGCGGCAATGGTGACGGAGGTGGCGGCGGCGGCGGTGGCGGCGGCGGTGAACCCTGCGGCTCCTTCGCCGCTGCTGGGCAGCTCACTTGGCAGCTCAACGGCGGTGTCTGTGCGCTCTTCACCGACGCCGTACGATGCCGGCACGCAAGGTGGCGTCTCCGTGGCCTCAGCGATGGGTCCCGGGCTGGCGTGAAGATTATAAGTCGCTGACGGCAACTTCCCTTGGCGGTCAAAGAGGTTATAGCTCCCGACTCCGCCGGAGCTTCCATGAAAGAACGCTATGCCGTTTGAACTGCCTGCCAGCCGACGGCTTCCTGCAGGTTCGCCGCCGATGCGTGCTTGGTGGCCTTCAGCATTGGCGGCGCTGCCGATGGCAGCGGTGTTCAAGATACCGCCGCCGCCGAACAAGCCACCCTGGAGCGTCACCGCCGCCAGCTCTACAGCCAACCTGTCCGAGGAGGTGTTGGAAGCCATGAAGGCAGCTAATGGCGCGTGCAGCAGTGCTTCGCCACTGCCGCCGCCGCCGCCGCCGACGGCGGCGGCGGCGGCGGCAGCAGCGAACCCAGCAAGGGCCTTACTTGTGGCCTCAGGAAGTGGCGCCGGCGCCGCTGGTTCCGGTGCCGGCAGCGTTGTTGCGGCGGCGTTGGCGGCGGCGGCAGGGTCGGTGCTGTTGTGCGAGCATTGTTCTTGGCCCATATCATTAGGCAGAACGAAGCCGTTGGAGCGCTTATCTGAGTTGGATGGCGTAGTGTTGGTGGCGGACTCGCTGATGATGCCAGCGGTGATAGTGCGCAGGAAAAGACCTTGAAGATTGGAGCGAGGCGGAGACACCATCTGTGAAACTAATGCCGTTGAAGGCATACCAACCAGAAAGCTTCCGCCCGGCGGCGCTGCCGCCGCCGCCGCCGCCGCCGCCGCCGAGACGGATTCCACAGACGCGCGGCTACCCAGAAGTGCCGCCAAGTCTGCAGTTCGATTCCCAACCATGCCACATAATGGGAGCCGCACCAATCAAAGCTCACAACCTCTCACAAGTTAAAACTGGCAAGTAAAGGAACTGCGAGCTTAGGATCCTTAAGAATATGACAGTAAATATGAAGACCCTTGGGACGCTGGGGGTTGTTGAACGGTTGATTTCCGCGCGGTTGGGCTTCCTGAGGGTTTGGCTGTCCAACGCCTGGCGGCGGTCTATCCTCGTCCCAGAAAGTTATAGAAGGCAGCGGGGCATACCCCCATCTTTTTGGCGCTTTTGGCTTGCCGTGAATCAGCATCTCCAGCTCGCTGCTGGTGCAGTAAACATCCAACATCGACTCCCAACCCCCAAATACGACATTAAGTCTTCCTGGCCAACATTGCCCCCAGCTGTGTAGGGTGGTCGGGCGTCACGGCATGTAGCCCCTTTCCTACAGGCCCCCGTCAACCCAGCAAACCGTCAGACTCGGCAATGCACCGCGTGCTGGGGTTTCCCACCAGGTTTCCCACCACACCAGTCACACACTGTCGCACCAAAGGGCGTGAGTGGTCGGGATGCACGTGACGTGTTGCTGCCGTACAACGACTGCAGTACTGTCGGTGTCCCATTGTTACTTGCGTAGCCCAGGAGTGCATGGTTTACGCCAAACCTGCGCACAACGAGTTGGGGATGGGGGGAGGTATGGCGGGCTGGGCTGTACGGGATCTGCCAAACGCTGTGCGGTGAAAGCGCCTAACATGTCTGTCTATGTGTCTGTCTGCATCTGTCTGTATGCCTATCTGTTCATGTCATCTGTGTGCCGGTATGCCTGTCTGTATGTATGTCTATGTGTGTCCATATAGCACACTACACGTACATGCATACATTCATACATACAGCCAGTATAGTGGAGAATGCGACCCACCAGTCGCCTGAGCCCCTGGCGGAGCTCAGCACACCTAACGGCGGTATACTGCCCCCACCGCCAGCCGCGTGTGCATGTGGACCCGCAAGGGCCCCTGTCGCAGGAGAACCGAACGATGTCAAAAACATGGAGGAGCCGTAATTCGAAACGCTCGGAAGGTATCCGCCGCCGCCGCCTCCACCGCCGCCAATTACGATGCCGTTGACATCTGAAACCCCGGCGCCAACATGAAACTTAGACGGGTGGTAATTGCGCGACGGGCCGCCGCCGCCGCCGCCAGCAGCATGTTGAGAAAGTGACGGCTGCGGCGGCGTCTGAATGTGCGGCATGTATGCAGCGCGGCTGAGGTGCGCAGGCAGAGAGCTGCCTAAGGCGGTTTGCACGAAACTACGAGGGGGCAGTGTTGGCAGAGCTGATGCCGCGGTTGCAGCGGCGGTAGGCACTGCCAACCGTGCCCAGCTGGCCCGACGAAACATGTGGCCGCGCCCGCCGCCGCCGCCGCCGCCGCCGCCGGCAGCGGCGGCATCATGCGCCGCCAAGCCGGCACCGGCGGACTGTCCTAGGGACAGTCGAGAGAGACTCTTAAGGGGCAGCTGCTGGCGGGAGCTTATGCTGGTGTGGCGACTGAGGGATGGTCGGACACGGCTGTTTTGGTGGTGATGGGAAGAAGCATCGTTGGGGACTCCACCGCCGGATAGCAGCTGCCGGGAGCTATCTGTCCAATTCGTGAAGGGGTCGTCCTCTGTGGCCAAGGTGGTGGCGGCCAAGTGGGTCCCAGACACGTGGCTCGTCTTGGAGTTGGCTTTGTCTGCACATAAAGAAGTCCGGAAGAGAGGAAACACCGCAACACGCCATACATAGTCAAAGTATCCGTCAAGCATGGTGAAATATCCGTCAAATTTGATCGAGCATGGAGGGTTTGTGGGTGCGGGAAGCACGAGAGTGGCAATGATGATGCGGATGGCCTGGAGAGGAGGGAGAGGCGAATGGAAAATGCGAGTCGGGGAGTGGAAAATGAGAAGTAGCGAGTGAAAAATGGGGAGTGGCGAATGGGGGGGGGGTAGATAGGCTCGACATGGGGAAGAGGTGTAGCGGGAGCTGAAGCGGAATACGGTAATGGGGAGGAAAGTATTTTTCGGCGTGTGGAAGCAGATGGGGAAAACGGGCAGCTGCACGGGCAAATTGCCTCTGCCACGTCACCGCTTTGAAAATCTCAATTGACTTACCCACCAGCTCCTGCACCCCGGGGCTCGTACCCCGTGCGGCCCCACGCAATGTCCCGTGATCGACCTACCCCGCCTGCATCGACCTACCCGCCAGCTCCTGCACCTCGGCCTCCACAACGTCCAGCTCCTCAATCTTGTTGTGGATGCCCTTGAACGTCATCGGCTCCACGAGAATCTGACCACCCGAACCAAGCTCCGCAATGCCCGTTGCCAGCCGCAGTACGGCACCAGTGTACTGCATACGCCGGGTCACAGGGTGCTCCCGTACAGATGACGGTACACCTGTCGCGATGCCCATCCGCACTGACAATCCCTTGAACAGCACCAACAGCGGAGCAGAGGAGGAAGCTGCGGCACCGCCGGCGCCTCCTGCCGGCGCCGCCGTCGGCGGCGCTGCCGCTACTGGCACCAGCGGCCGCGGCCTGCATAGCGGGTGTTCCAGCAGTAGCGGTGGCCAGTCCAATTTCAGCAGTGCCGACTGCAGTAGCAGCGCCCAACGAACCGCATCCACGGGGTCGTGGAAGGCGACCAGGAAGGCGTCGCCCTCGGTGGTGACCTGTGATCGTACGTTGGAGCAATAAACAATGCAACTCACAAAAGACATCTCTTTGGAAACACGAACGAGCGATTGAACGAAAGAATGAAAGAATGGAAGAACGAAAAAATAAAAAAGCGAACGAACGAATGAACGAACGAATGAACTAATAAATTGATGAACGAATGAACTAATGAGCTGATGACCGAATGAATGAATGAACGAATGAACGAAAGAACGAACGAACGAGAAAATACAGTGAAATGCAGTGAAACGCGAGTGAAATACGAGAATTTACACCCGAACAGATCACCAGTGCTTTTTTGTCTCATTTGTCTAATTTTTTTGTTTAATTTGTATATTAGTCTCTAGTGCAGTGCACGGCCAGCTGGCCCGATGGCTCTACTCTTCGGGAGTCTGGAGCCCACTGTAACAAACCCCCACATACAGTGCTGAGAACGAGTTGTTGACGCATATATCGTGATTTCTGCAAAACAACCTTGGCTGATACGGCCATTTGCGAAGGCAGTGGGCGAAAGTAGCAACAGAGCAGGGGTTTCAGGTGGGAAGCGCATGACTGTACAAGAGGGGGGCCCCGCCGTCTGTAAGAAACCGGGGACCCCACGGTTTTTTGTCATTATTTCGCCCGCTCGACTGGGCTCGACACGCCGGAGCGCGGCGTGCCTGCTGGTGGTTTCCCAGTCCTCCTCCGGATGAAAACTTAGCCATTTGGGGGGCTCCAGGATCCATTTCCGTGAGAGCGACCCAGGTGGAGCGTTTTATTACTATGAGCCGGGGGCAAGAACCGGGTAAGGTTGGTAGTGTATCTGTAGTATCCCGGAGGGCATATCACGGGATCTGCATCCGCCGATCGGTTTTACTTTTCTGAAGTCGTGATAAGTCGTGATATGACAGTCCGTTGCGCATGTGTCGATAGAGAAGGGAACACGCGATTCCGCTACCACTTACCTTTCCAAGACTTGTGCAGAAAAGATGTACGAACTTAGCATCAAATACATATACTTCCACTTGTTGAGCATCGATCCTTAGACCGCATAGCAGCAATTAGGTCGTGATTCGTGGGGGGCTGACAGCAATGCGGACATGTCCCCACCGATTACTACTTGTTTGCTGTTTTTAATGATGATCAAGGACTTCATCACCATTTCCCACTTCACCAGATGCCTACGTAGGTATACCTCATAGCCGCAACATGTGGCAATGGTCAAGCGAGCCAGCTTATCATGTAGCGCTAACGCGGTGTTCATGACGTCGGGCTGCCACTCCCACAGCTCCGTGCTGCCCTCCACATCTGACACACAAGGGAATGGTGGTGGGAAGTATTATATGGCAGGATGGCTAGGAGGAGGACGAGGACAAGGAGGGCGTATTAGTGATGGTTGTGCAGGCGCAGGTGCAGGCGCAGGTGGCCACAATCGACTTGGGTGCGCCGGGTAAGGATGGTTTAAAAAAGGAGTCTGCAAGGTGAGAGAGTGGGTTAGGACGAGGTGGACAGCATACTCGTGGATTGTGGATTGCGAGGAGACGGTCGTAGCGAGCAGCTCTCCAACCAGCAGCCAGCCTCCAGGAACGGGTTAACCTGCGATGGGCGCTAGGAACCCCGCCCAGTGCCTTTACACCTTATACGGGTATCCCCGTCTGTCCCCATTCCCACCAAGATTCATAAGGCACCACATAATACTGTTGTTCCCAGCGCCATCACAATGTGCGATACCCTCCTTTTCTTTCTTGTCCCGGCGATCACCCACCCATCCTCACCCATCCTCGCTTGTCCCGGCGATCACCCACCCATCCTCACCCATCCAGCTGCTTTACTCGCTCACCCGTCGCGACTAGAGTGACGCTATCTCCAAACAATGCGGGAAAGGAGCCTGCAACACATCCAATGCAAAAATGGGCGCAGGATGAAGCATAGAACCAAGGATGAGCGGCAGGTGCTGGGGATGGGGGCGTCAATGGGCGCCGAGTTACGCCATCCATCGAGTTCCGACCCACCCACCAGCCTAGAACCAAGCCAACAGTCGCCACTCCCATACCCACACCCACCCACAATTGCCCTCCCACACGCACCAGGCGGTTTTGAGCGCTTTGTGGCGGACAAGGAACTCGGAAAGGCTTCCTCCCGGGTCAGCGTCGTCACCGCTGCTGCGGCTGCTGTAGCTGCAAAAGCTGCTGCCCCAGCATCCCCCCCAGATACGCGCGGAGAAGTAGCTCCTGCTAATGCTGTCGCTGCAGCTGCCGTATTGCACATACCCGCCATGGAAGGCCCTGACGCGACATCCACACGCAAAGCCGCTGGCTTGATGGTGCTGGCGGTTGCCCCGGCCCAGCGGCTGCAGCTGCTGCCACGACTGCAGAGAATCACCAGCAGTACCACCCAGCCGCAGAGCGCGGCAATGCCAACGGGGATAACAACAGACAACATTACACGAAGTGGCACCTGTCGGGGCCCCATCGGGGTGCACGGTGGTGGCGGTGGTGGTGCCGGTGGCGGTGGCAGTGGGGACGGGTTTCATCATCAAGGGGATGCCGCGGAAATGCATGAGGCAGCATGCATGAAAGGATGGTAAAGCCGGGGAGATGCATAGCTCAGAGCAAGAGAGCGGCATGATGATTCAGCGCAACGAGACGCAGGGTCGCAAGTCCAACCAGAAAAACTCCCACATGACGTGTGCCGGCTGTTTTCTAAGCAGGAATGAAGCCCCCTCCTCCAGCTACGGACCGACAGAACACTCAGCAACAACTTACAAACACACGACGATCACACGGCGACGGTCCCGATTTGACAGGTTACCAAGTTCCCACCAACGTCGCAGTGTCGCAAGCATGCATGTGGATATCAGATACTGGCGCCCTCACAACAGTTCTGATGACACCCGGTGATATATTTCGACCTTCATGTGTTTGCCGTACCTTCCCACCTTCCACCGTCGGGGCTGCTGTTCCTGCCGCTGCCGCTGGCTCAGGCGCCAATGCCGGCGACGGCTGAGTAGGCTTATCGACGGCGGCGGCGAGGATGTACGCCGCCGACCTCGCCGGCAGCGGCACTTCCGCCGCCGTTTCTGCCCCTAACTCCGCTACCGATTTCGTTCCACTACCCAGCACCCGCAAGCAGACGCAGGTTCCGAAGCCCCAGTAGCTTGGGGAAAATAACAATAGCGTTGTGGCGACGCCGCCTGCATGTACAGCCGTACTCGCTACACTTTGGCGGGGTGGAGCTCCGCCGCAGCTGCCTGACGCTAACAGACCCAGAACATTCCCGCCTGCATCTGCGGCTGTCCTTGCTAGCTGCTGCTCTGAAGCCGCGACTGGTTTTGAAGCTGTTTCGATTTCCTGGGTAGAAATGGTTGCAGCGGTTGGGTAGGACGTGCTGGTGGAGTGAGTTTCGGAGCTGTCGTTACCATTGGCCGTTGGCACCTCCCGGCGGTATAGGAAGGAGCTGCACGCTAGCAGGCCGGTAGGCCAGGCTGTTGCTGCGAAACGAAAGGCGTGTGGTGGGTATCGGGGCGGATGTTGGCATGAACCGCGGGTTGCCTAGTTTGGTAACATGGCATTCAGCATGCAGATCCCAGCGTTCATATTATTCATATTTTCAATCTGAACTTGTTATATGGAATACATTTGCGGAACACAATTAAAAAATGTTTTTGACGATCCCGTAATTGTAATTGATCCTGGAAATCCCTTAGTTGTACTAGGGTAACCGAATGCATGGCCGGGAGTACGGGAGCCGCTGGACGAGCTGGACGCCGAGCGTGTGATGGCTCATGGCGCATACAGCATCGGTCGCCGCCAGCGCCGGCACATGGGATGGCAATGTGGACAACGTGGAGTGCGTCTGGCGGTGGTTGTGGTTGCGGTTGCGATGTGGAGGATGAGGAAAGGGAGCTGGGGGCCAGCGTTTTTTTCATTGAAGGGGGTCAAGAATTATATTCCAAGACAATGTTTGACTTCTAGGTCGCCAGGTAATTGACGTTGCTGTTGTTATCAGCAGTTATGACCCTATGCCAGCTAGACGCTTCGCAGCAACGCCAGCAGCAACATGTGAGACACAGGGATGAAGGTATATATGCTTGTGCAAGCCCTTTTCAGTGCCGTAAAACCGCTCTTCGTACTGTAAGCCCGCTTACTGGAACCCATTGAAATAACTCTTAAACGCTGAAATAACTTTCAAGCATCGCCGTGTGCGAGGCAAATATGCTGTGCCGGGCTGCAGCAACCCCGCCGCCACCAGAACGTGCCTCAGACACAGTGCATGTTAGGACGCAACACACAAAACAGGAACAGCACATACGACGAAAATGAACCCACTGACCGTCGCCTTCTGATGCAGCCCAACTGTGCAGCAAATACTCCTTCGAGTTGACAAACCCCTCCGGTAGCACGCACGGTGGCTGGTGGCCTGATGGCGCCGCCGTTGCACTGGCGGCAGCGGCGGCGGGGGCGTTGTCAGCCGCCGGCGCCGCCATGCTGCCAAGGCTGCTGCTGTACAACATTCCCGTACCGCGTATGTCCACCTGCACGTACGACGACATGTTGTTAGACCACGAAGCCAAGCCGGGAGTTCAGGTGCGAGCCCACCGCGATGTGGCTTCACATCACGTGCATGGGTTCAGGCGTGGGTCATGAAGAGCATATTCAACCAGGCACGCACGGGTTGCGGGGATTCCTCAAGACCGCCGGCCTCTCATATTATTATTAATATCGTGTTTTTGGCCAGGTATGGCGTCTTGAATATCTCCATACACAATGGGGAGGTACCAACGGTGCGTTGCCACCGCAGCCAGAGTGACTGCATGGCGCTGGCTGATGCTACCACTGCCAGAGCCTGATCAGGCCACATAATAAGCCAAGACATGGCAGTCATTTCGCAAGGATGCGCCTACGGCCGCCTGGGGCCAACAGACGAATGAATGAATGCCTTTCCCATGCGCTTATGTCTTTGGCTGATTTTAGGTACACAACCCTTGCCTCAACATCCTCCATTTTCTCCCTCCTCCCGACAAGCCCCTTGCCGCGTGCACAACCACTTTGTATCCAAAGCTGTGAGCGCCAGCACCACCCTTCCGACGCATGCCTTTATGCCACAGCCTTTTCCTGCGGTTGCGGTTGCTACTGCAGGTGCTACTGCTGCAGTTACTGCTGCTGCAGTTTTTTGCTGCAGTTGCTGCTGTTCCCGGATCCTTCCTTCCTGGGCGCACCTCTCTCAAGGATGTCCGGTGCAACAGCTCCAGCGGCAAAGAGCCTCGTAGGTCTAAGAGCATAGGTACAACGTGGGCGAACCGAGTTCGAGCCACACCAACAACACGGCGGTGCGGATTAGGGGCACAAGGAAAAGGAACGTCTCCAAGGGCAGGCTCTCAAGCTGTGTCTGAACTACATGGAAGCTACGGTTACTGTGCACACGCTATGGCACCAGATCAAGGAGTAGGATTGACAATTGCAGGCCTAAAACGTTTTCAGGCCTAGAAATCCTCCAGAGGTTGCATGTAATAACACTCACATGCACACAACTGTGAGATGACTAATTAACACACTATCGATCTTTTTTTCTCTGTGTGTGTGTTACATGGTTGGGGGTGCGTGACCCCATACCTGTAAAACTACCCATACGAGCATCGATCTGCCGTAAGGGCCCCCTACCTCCATTTCCAGGGACAGACCGTCCTCCCATGCCTGCTAAATGGACAATCTGTGCAACCAACCAGCCAATCCAAGTGCCTAGGCACCCACCCCGGTTGTCAGCCAGCCGCAGGACCTCCAGGCTGGTCAGCTCTACAAGGCCGGGTGGGAGTGTACCACGCAGCCCAAAGCCGCCTAATAGCAGAGCTGACGGTTTTTTTTCGGAGGCGTGGGTAGGATGTCGTGAGAAGTTAAGGGAAGGAGCAGAGGAAAAGGAAGAGGTGTAGGGCAAAAGATGGGATGGAAGGGAGGAGAGGGCTCAGGAAGGAAAGGGAAGAAGAGTGTTGCCAGACGTTGTCCTGTATGCACCGAGCTAGTTAGTGAGGCAAGGGACGTGTTCTGCATGCTGGGTTGGTGGGGCTTTGGAACTGTGCCAAGTGGGTCTTGTGCGTGGGCGCCTGGAGGCTGTGTATTGTATGTGGGTTCGGGCAGGGCATTTTTGAAGGTGCCTGCTGCTGCTACCAATGTGAGCCAAGTGACAAGTGAACCTTCGGAAATCAGCGCTAATTCTGTCTAATAAATAAACACCAGGGGTGCAGTTTTGCGCCGGACAGGATGAAGCATGCCGATGAATTCCGGTTTTGTCCAAAAAAGGTAAAGGCTGTACCGCCAGTCTTTCAGGCATTGCATTGTTGTACCACTCCCACCTTCCACGGCGTGCGTTGAGTGCTCATGTATCCAGCGTTCGTCGCCACTTGTGTGTTTTTCTCCATTTTGGACAACTCTAGGCTGGCGCTTTGGGCCTCCGGCTCGTATGAAACAAGGGCCCCTCGGTTACACCACCGGAGAGGACCGCAGCTCTAGAAGGTAACTCACACACTCTCTCTCTTTCTCTTTTTCTCTCTCTCTCTCTCTCTCTCTCTCTCGCTCTCTCTCTCGCTCTCTCTCTCTCGCTCTCTCTCTCTTCTGGTTCATTATGTCACTAACGCAGTCCTGAAAATGCAGCCCAGCGCCACCGAGCCCCAAATTATTATTTTATTATGCCAGGTGGAACTTACCAGCTACTGTTCCCTCAGTTGCGCACGGCTGCTTCAGCTGCTGTCGCCATTCCCGTGTACGCCAGTGCGGCGGTAGCGGACCGTTCCATTCCGTTGCAGGGCCGAGCCATTGTCACCATCGAGGCCATTGTCGACAATCCGGGCACATGTACATGAAAATGGATTAAGCACAGACCGTTATGGCACCGGTTTCGGAGCGGTGGGAGAAGAACACGAACTACGTGTTGGTTCCCCTGGTGCGGTGAGAATCCAGAAGCGCACTAAACTGATCCCAAATGCCTCCACCCGTTGCTAATGTTTTTAAAAAACATTATGCAAAAGGCTGCCAACCGCTGGTAGGTTGGCAAAGGGAGAACTGACCACCAAAAACCCTAAGTCGTACAAGGTTTCCGATGCGACCGAACGGGCAAACTGGCGGCAAATCCCTTCCACCCACTCGTTTCGTTCGGACATCCGTCTCGTCAGTCGTCATCACGGGTACGTGGTACGTGGGGTCATCGGTGCAATGTGCGCCGCATTGCGATATGAACGCATGTAAAGATTCGGACTTAACCACGGCGTAATTGTGCGAAAGCTCGCCTAATCACGCAACCAGCTTGGATATCATTTGGGGGCGCCTAACGCCGTACTGCCGTTGATTAGGTTCTGCGGCCCGTGGTGCTTTTGTAACTTTGTGTCACGTCTGATCATTGGCCAGCGTCCTGGTTCAGACCTGATGCCCACCTGGCTTCCGAAAGCGACGTTGGGAAGAGAGTAACAGAGGTCTATGGAACCGTCCATGTTCCCGCACGACATGCAACAAACGACGCCTGCAGAATCGCGCGATGACCAAGTCGGCACTAGTGTAATGCACTTGATCCTGACAGATATTTTACACCGTCAAACCTTTCCATTGACAGAAAGCGCCTAGACCCCAGCCGCTTTTGTCCGGCAATGTCGTCCACTGGCGTCCTCCGGTTGCGTTAAATAGTTCCATTAGTACATGCCTGAACAAAATAGTACTGTTAATTATGAAATTAGTGCAAAAGCGCGACGGCGCTTTAGCGAGCGACGATGGCCGGTGAACCTCATCGCCTGATTGCCCTGGCTTACCTCTGTCGCTCCACGGTTAATTTATCAACCCGGTGACCAAGTATAGTTGCGCGTCCAGTGCTTGCCCATAAAAGGAGGCATGTGATAAGGCCGGCGACAGCAAATCCACGGCGGGATGCCGTTTCAGTAGATATTCCCATTCAATTTATCTTTGTTATGGGCTGGCAACCGTGAGACGTCTGGCCCCAAGACATGCTGTTAAGGAATGGGAAAAAGTTATGTACGCAGGTTACCGGTCTACTGCCTGTTTAACTAGGACAGCTGTATGCGTTGCCTATAACTTGACGTAGGCTTGTAAATGCTACCCAAATTCCTGAGAATGGCAGGGGTGTTTTGTTCGCCATGTACAGTACCTGCACGATAATGTAACGAGCTGTGCGCAAGCTATTAGCCGCACAGCGGCCGAGCACTTCAATCGTAATACTATAATGCATTTCAAAATATATGGCATGAAATCTTTACCATTGAAAAATTTAGGTATCATAGAGAGAGGATACAACTTTGACCATACGTATCTCACCGCTACGTAACCATGTGATGAATTCTTGGCCGCAGAATTCATGAATCTGTAAGCAAGTATGCTGTGACGTCTGTATACCTGTAAAAACTCCCTGCATGCATGACGTTTAGTCATGCAATCTGTTGATAGACGTCGCGACCGCTTTGGAACAACGTTTGTTCAATTTAGGTTGGAATGGTTTCGTTCGTTACATTGAAGCTGTGACAGTTTGCCGCACGTTGCGGCGTTCCGTGCGGCTCGTACATTTCCCGTATCGTCCCGTGTGCCTTGCATCGTGCCAGGCATTCGCGTCATGCGTCGCAGGTGCCATCGCGCACCAAGCAATCCTTCATATTAATATTTCCAGCAGGCATATGGATTTCCTTCCCTGTGCCCGTGCGGTGCGGGGCCTGAGGGACCTTGGCAGCTGTCATTGCAGGACCGACGGGGATCTGTAGGCGGGAAAAGGCCACAGTCTTTTCGTACACACGACAATATGTTCTGACCCCTTTCCCCCGTTGCAGGACAAACAGCTGGTCGAACGTATAATAATAACTTAACAGCTGGAATAACGTACAATGGCGATGTCGAATGAGCATGTGCGGTGTCTCGCCAGATCGGCGGGAAATGCAAACCGTTGCGAGTAAATAAACCTTTTCCTTCTGCGTAATGCTATTGGATGCGCTGCTGATTCCTTCCCTGTGTCATGCGTTGGTCATCTTCCGCTTGAGGCTTAACCGTGGTTCCGACAGCCGATCACGCGGCCGTTTTCATACAGCAGATAACAGGTTTACCCGCCGGGGAAACGTACTCTGGCGGATGCATACCACCGCACCCCTGCTTTGTTAGCCACAGGAAATCTCGAGGCGTACCGGGGTGAATTCCAGCCCCTTCTATGACCTTCCCTGACAATGCTATGAACACAAGGACATGCTGTTCGCTGTCATGCTAGAGGTTTCGGGGCCTTTGTGGCCTCTGGACAGGTCCGCAGGGAATGTCCGACACTCGGACCTGATCTTGATAATGCTGCTACGGATCGACGAGCGATCATCATGGCTGCAAACCGCACGCTACAACATGCAAAACCGCAATCCAAAATAAAAATAATAACAATAATAATATAATAATAATAGTATAATTGTAATAGTATTATAATAATAAAATAATAATTATAAATATAATAATAGTATTATGATACAATACAAATATATAATAAACTAATAATAGTAATACGCCTTCAGCTCAAACTAAGGTGTGCATTAAAAAGGGCGCCGTTGGAGGATGATGATAGGTTTCCCTGCTGGCCTTTATTTGCCCCTCCCCCACCACCGTGACTGCGTAAGGGCTAGACATGTTCGCCAAGTAGAAGGAATGCCAGCCACTCGCACCGCGCTAGCTGATCCAAGGAACCCTCTAGGTGATCACGGCTTGCAGTGTATCGGTTCGCAAAGAGGGGCTGCAGCGCGGTTGGTGGCTGGTAAATGCACAGTTGAGTGGTGTAACGCCAGTACGTTCCCTACCTCTGCCTATTACATACAGGGTTGTCGCCTCTAGGTGATCAGAAAACTTACTGACGGAGTGACCTGGGATAGGTCTGATGGCGTGGTGGGTTGAGTGGCCGATCCATGCACCACCACCATTCAACATCCAACATCACCACCAACTGTGAAGACCAGCAAAGCGCCCGACCCCCGATGGGTCCTATTACTGTGGTTACCATCCACTGGTATATGAGTGTCGGTCATCTCCAGCACACCCCCGTGAGCGGTACTCTCTCGCTCCGGGCCTTCCCGTGCTTCATCCCGGTCACCCATTCTCTGGGCAACAACCAGTGGATGTCGATCCGGCGACCTCCCAGCAGCGCAATGCGCCATTCGGGGCTCATAACCTGTTAAGACCAGCAGAGCGCCGGGCCCCGTTACCATCCACTCATATATGACTGTCGGTCATTTCCAAAAACAACAACGCTACCAACAACATTGCCAGCACCACGACAACCACCACCACCGCAACCACATCCTCCTCGTCCCCAGGCCCTTCCGACCCCCCTCCCCGCCTCCACAACTACAACTACCACAACTACCACAGCTACAACTACCACAACTACCACAGCTATAACTACCACAATTACCATCATGACTTCACCAAAACCGTCGTCCTCTCCATCTTTCACCTCTTCCTCCATGGCCACCGTTACCACAAGATGTGATGCGACCGGACCATCCTTACTTCTGCTCTCTCTTCTGCGCCAGCCTCCTTCCTCCCCCGATACCACAATTAGCATGTGCATGACAACCATGACAACTACCTCCACCACAACCACAACCACCTCCACCACAACACCTCTTACCACAACCACCTCCACCCTGACGACCTTCAACCTCCCCAAGCCGGCCCTCGCCAGTACACGCACCAGGAGAAGAACAGGACAATAATTGTGACCTGCCGCCGGAGCGACGGGATGGCAACACGCAACCCGACCTCCCAGTTTATTTTACTTTAATGTGCCGTGCACTTCATAGCTTCGCCTCCAAAGGCGACAGAAAATACCTAAACATTAACTAGTTGCTTGTGCGAATGACATCTTAGAATTTGTGTTTCTTTCCTGTCTATCTAGGGCTTCCTTCAATAGTTCGCCGCCGTACAAACTGCCAGCAAGTAGCTACCTGCAATGAATAACCACAACTACCAGCAAACACAACAACACATACCCCCGCACCTACTTTGCGCCATGCAACTTTTCCGCGGTCCGAAAAGGCTAAGTAGTGATGTGTTCGGCAAATAAATGAGTCAGCACGCAGGAAATAACAATTTCAGGCGCACACACACGCAATGGGACGTATAGAGGCTCTTTAAGACTGTGGTTCAGACAGAGCACGGCCAGCTCAGTCAATGTGGCCGCAAAAGTTTCATAAAAATCATACTCCCCATAAGATTGCGCCTAAATTTAGTCGGCCCTGTCCATGAATGAAACGCCTCCTTATTTCCTAACTTTAACGCAACATATACAAAGACCTACCTGCTGCCACACTACACAATCACGACCCACACACACGCCCGCACGCCATAACTGCATTCGTGGCCGAATCTACAACCGTCACCACACGCAGCTACAGAAGTCGGAAGGCTCTATTGAATCCATGTCCACCATTGCAAAGTGATATAAATCTATTTTTACTTGCTAGCTGCTTTAGACGACAAGGTTCGCTGACCAGGGCTCGAGCCAGAGCGCTTTCCAGCGGGACGCTCAGAACTGCTGCTGGCTATCTGTGCACCGAATAACCCATCGCCACCATTCATGAAAAGCGTGCTGACAACCTCATACACCCGGTCAACCAAGTGCAGAGGCCCGCTGCATTTGATCGTCGAGCGACCCTTCTGCCCCCTGCAGCATCCCTATATATGCATCTACCAAAAGCGAACCACCAACCAACCAACCAACCAACCTACCAACCTACCAACCAACCTGAAATTATGCAAGACAACAAATTAGCAAGCTGCGTAACCAGAAACAAAGGAGGCAACCAAACTCGGTGCCGTATTTTCTCTCGGTTACGTATGTACGTAAAAATACATATATATGAGCAGGATACAGGATATTTTGACCTGTGTGCTTAATGCATCATCACCATCACCAACATCGCCAGCACCATTATTGTCAATATTATCATTATCATCATCAATATGCATGTTTATATCAACCTGCAACAAGTGCGGAATACCATCAGCGTCATGCACTCCAGCAATGGCAACGAATGAGCGAGGCGTGAAGCAACAAATAAACACAGATATACAGACGGCTTGATGTAGGTAGCCATCTATCTTCCTCTCGTGTGTGGATACATCTCTCTGCCCCTATAAGAAGGGCCCCTTGTACACGCTATGTGCCTAAGCGTGCGTGTTTGCGCCTCTGTGTGTGTGCGTGCGTGCGTGTGTTTGTGTGTATGTGTGTGTGTTTCTTGAATAATCTGAGCCGCAATGTGTGTGTGCGTGTGCGCGCATGTGTGTGTTGGTGCGTGTGTGATGTGTGTGTATGTGTATCTCCCGACACACGTCACGTCACCCCACGTCCCGACCCTTCAGCAGGTGGGACGCCATCAACCATCTACAGCAGTCCCACACAAACACACCACCAGGGAGGCCTCACTACACGCAGGCCTTCTCCCTACCCTGCACATCACTTCAACACACGACACAGCAGCAGCAACACGCCCCCAGGAGGCCGCCAAGCTCCGGAGCCTGCTGCTTGCGGTCCAGGGCTGCCAACACACCGCGAGCCTCCATGGCCCAAAGCTCCTGGGCCACTGTCCCCATATCAGGTCGATGCTCTGGATTCTGGGCCCAGCATTGCCGAATGACGCGACGCAGCGGCGATGGCAGGTCCTCGTGGATAGCAGGGCGGAAGCCTTGAGATACCTGATTTGCGATACGGGTTTTAAAGGGTTTTGGGTGTGTGCGCATGAGAGCAAGATCCTTGGGTGGGCGGGAATAAGAGTACTAGGGTTCGGGATTTTGAGGGGAAGTTCGCGAAAGATTGGAAATAGCAGACGCACACGCAACAAGTAAGAAACACACAGATAGTAGCAGCAGCACACCTTGCAGCAGCACACCTCGCAATCTTGCAACCTTTTCAAACAAGCACAAAGGCAAGCACATGTACCTGTCGGGCGTATCTCTCCATCTGCGAGGTGGGTTCCAGGGAGCACGCGGTGATGTAGCGATGGAACACCTCGTACAGAAGCATCGCGAAAGAGAAGCAGTCGCACTGTACACGCAAATAGGAGACAAGATGGCAGGAACGGAAACGTTGATAAGGGAGGAGCGAAAAGGAGGAGTCAATGTTAGGCCAGAAGCGGGAGAAAATCCAGAAATGCAGCGAAAGTACCTAGAAGTACCGGGCGTTCATCCAGGGCGGGTCAGGGGGTGTCTACGAGGGGGGATGTGTACCGGTTCACAAGGGGGAGTTCTCGCATGCATGGCGTGTGGAGAGGGACCCGGGTTGGCGGGAGAAAGAATTACATCTACGGCTTATTGGATGGGATAAAAAAAGATAACAATCTTGACGACGTGGGTGACGGCGGGAGCTTGCGCTTGGCATCTGCCACGCAGGGTCCTCGTGTGGGCCGAATGGGCCTGGGTATGGTAAGCTTTTACCAAACCCAGGCGGCAACAGCGACGCGTCCTCTCTCGCGTCCTCCTCCATAATGTTCCTTCGCCCTTCTCCGTACATCTCCGTACAACGTACGAAACAACTCCAAAACGCGTACCTTTTCATCATACTTTTGGCGCTGGTAAACCTCAGGTGCCATGTACATGTAAGTGCCTAGGCGTTCTCGCTTGTGGGACTCTAGAAGTTTGGAAAGTCGTGTCGCGTCATCGGCTTGACGGAGATGTGGCGGCGCCTGTGTGGCAGCCGTGACAGCTTCTCGTACGGCAACAGAAGCCCTGTACGACAGCGTCTCGGTGCATGGAAGGGAGCCTCTTAGTCGGGATTGCGAGATGGTCATTCCAATAATGTCCTTGTTTGTCGATGAGGTGTCGTTGAGGTGTACGACATGCTGCATGCGGGTGTCCTATTGAAGACACGTTTTATACAAGACAAGACAACAAGCAACAGATGGCGCCCTTCGCCAGGGCAACCGCAACCGCTGGCAACCCTCTCCCTCGTGTGTGCCCTCCACCAACCACACGAGCTCACTGAGTTCGAATTCGCCGATTGCTCGACTGAGGCCGTAGCTCTAAGTAATCTATTTCCAGGTCCGAGGCGCCAAGCCTGTTCGCACCGTACGACATCGTACGACAGACATGCGGGTAAGGGGAAAGGAAGGTAATCAGGGGCAGGGTTTAGTTCATCGCCGGAAGATGTTCCATTCTTGAACAGAACAATGCACGAGTTTTTGTAATAGCCGCCGCCGTCGTCGTCGTCGTCGTAGTAGTAGTAGGAGTTAACCGCAGCGATCCCTTTCTACGAACACACAACCACATACACACATACACACACACAACCACACACGCGCGCGCGTACATTGCCCCACTGAATCCGCAAATCCCCTTTGGTTGGCTCCTGCGGCCGCCAGCGCTAGCGCCCTTGGTGCCCCCATGACCATAACCGCCACAACCGCCATAACCGCCTGTACCACAATTACAGCCGGCATCACCGGCATTACAACCTCTATCAGGGGAATCACTGGGGTTGTGCGCGTCACAATTCAGCTGCCGACTATCCTTTGGCTGCGCCTCACGCTGTTTGCCAGGGGGCCTCCAAGGAACCGAAAAAATATCTCTTGCGGTCCAAAATAATGAATGGACTCTCGCTCACCCGTCATGGACTCCCATACAGTTCTAAAATTACAAACCCAGCTATGGCCCCAGTGCCGAAAACTCGCGTGGGAAAGGAACGCGGGGCTAATAGCCCCGAAGCCCCGAGGGACGAACACGAGATGGACCACGTACCCACTGACGCGCCGGTGGTGAGACAACAGTGCAGCCAGGCCAAGGTCACTCAGCTTGGCAATACATCCTTCGTACGACCCACATGCTGAATCTGCAGTACGGCAAGCATGGCGAGATTCGTTCCAGATGTGAGGGGGATTAAACGGTTTGGACGGGTGAGATGTGATTTTGGGAGTAACGAGTGATGATTTTTTGTTTTAGTTTTTGGTCGGGTGGCGCTATGTTCTGTGCTGTACCGTGGTGCGTCATTTTATATGCCGTGCCGTACTACGCCGCACTATGCTGTGTGACCTGCCGTGCATTGCCACGTCCGCGTGCTCTTCATAATACTGGGGTCCATGGGTTGCCTCCTCTCTGTCAAATTGTGTTTTGATGTTTCATCTGCCAGGGTGTGCAGACGGTGAGCCGGAAGACGAGCACGTGCAACCACTCTTGCATGACACCAGATACGATCACCGCCCCGGCGCGAGGATGGGGCGGACAGAGACCAGTCGATGTACCCCATCATCATCCTACGCTGTGAAGTGCGCATTGGTGAAGGTGAGAAGAGGGAAGGGGAAAGCGGGAAAAGGAGCCAAGGGGCCGAAGGGAAAACAGGGGAGGCAGGACGCAACGGCCGCATCTCCTTCCGCTAGCATCGTTCTCGTCTCTACATTCTGCCGGACCCCCCCAACCTCCTATCCCACTCCTCGGAGAGTTTCTCCTCCCCACTCTCTCCTTTCCCTCGCCCTCGCCCTCGCTTTCGCTTCACATCATTGCAGGTCCGGAAAAGCAGGTGCGTACATGACACTGGAAACACGACACACCTGTACCCGTCATGCTCCCATGTGCCCATCATGTGCTCATCCTCCCGTCGCCATGCTAAAATGATATGTCAACATTACACACTTTCAGGTCGCGACTCTTCATCGTGAGGTTTGAACCTGAGCACGTGAAACCCCCAAAAAGGCAGAAATGCTGAAAAACTCAGCCCTCTGCCTGCCCTCTGCCTGCCCTCTGCCTGCCCTCTGCCTGCCCTCTGCCTGCCCTCTGCCTGCCCTGCCCTGCCCTGCCCTGCCCTGCCCTGCCCTGCCCTGCCCTGCCCTGCCCTGCCCTGCCCTGCCCTGCCCTGCCCTGCCCTGCCCTGCCCTGCCCTGCCCTGCCCTGCCCTGCCCTGCCCTGCCCTGCCCTGCCATCTGCCTGCCCTGACTTGCCCTGCCATCTGCCTGCCCTGACTTGCCCTGCCATCTGCCTGCCCTGACTTGCCCTGCCATCTGCCTGCCCTGACCTGCGACTGGTTGCAGAAGCACATTATCCAGTTTGATGTCCCGATGTAGGACCTTGGGACGACACGTATGCATGTACGACAACGCGCCCGCTACTTGCGCCATCCAGCGCAGTGCCGTAGCGTTGCTGTACAGCTGCTTCTGAGGCCGCAACATCTGCTCGTACACTGCAGACTGCGCGACAAGAGGGCGGAAAGGAAAGGGCACTGATATGCACCGAGAAGGTGAATTTCCGGAAATGAATGAAGAATGGAAGCTGGAACAAACTGGAGAAAAAATTGAGAAACGAAGTCATGCACGATGGAAATTGAAATGTGAGAAAGGGAGATTGCATTGCAGGAGGGAGGGTTGAAGAAGGCACACACGTACTTCCCGTAGTATAAAACACAATCGGAGCTCAAGCCACGCACGTTCCCAAGGTTCGGTACATAATGTGTGGGATAGCATGATAGGGTGTTTATACGGCATCGCGTCCGTGCATTGACCCAAGACAAAAATTAACAAACCTTGAGCGTGCCTCCCCTCATGAACTCCTCCACGATGAACAGCCCACGTAGTTGTAGTGGCGGCAGCGCTGGCGCTAATGGCCGCGTGTCATCGTCATCGTTGCCGTACAACTTGTCACAGCCGCCGCCGGCACTGCGACGGCCACCGCCGCCATAGCCGCCCGCCAGCGGGCGCTTCGAGGAATGTCGCATGTCGAGCTTCCGCGGCGTCGGACCGACGCTATGCCTTCTGTGCCGTACTGGCGGCTGGCCACAGGAGCGGCGGCTAAGCTCTAAGAGCTGATCAGCACCCAGTGGCGCTTGCGCCGCTGCCGCCGACTTGACGCTGCCGCCGCCGCCGCTGCCGCCGCCGCCACCAGCGCTGTTCAAGGATGAGTCATCCAGGACGATCCCCAAGCCAATGTACTTGACAATGTGCCTACGAGGTGCCGTACGGTACGGCAGGCGGCGGGCGGCCTTCCTCCCTCGCTTTGTATTCATACGCTTACATTTCAGTACACCTTTGCTTTTTTCAACAGAGCTGAGGCACCCCCACGCATTATGTCAGCCTCAGATCAGTTCGGGTTTGGTCGAATCTGAAATTCATCTTCAAATCTAAGATCGACGGCTTCATGAACCTTTAATTATGATAAAACCTAGTACCCGCTGTTGGCCCCTCTCCGGTCTCCAATTTATCGGGACCCTTTCCCGACCCCTTCACCGCTCACGGGTGGTTGAGTTTCCGCAGCAACTGCGCCTCCTGGATGAAAAGGTGCAGGTCCTGTTGGTCTCGACTGCTCATCAGCATCTCAGGCTTGATGCGCTTGACCGCCACCTGCACGCACACACACATACACACACATACATACACACACATACACACACACCACAACCCTTTACACGCTTACAAAGATCTATAGCGGATCTCCCACAGATCGCCTACACGGATCAATGGATCTAATGGATCTAATCTGCGGATTTCCTGTTTGTCTCTATGCGCATGGGCGCCAGAACCGGGGTGACGTCTCTAGAAACGGGATGGTCCCAGAACAGAATAGCAAGTAGTGTACAAAAGATGATGACGGAAATAATATATAACCCGATCGCGATGCTATCTATCTATCTATCTATCTATCTATCTATCTATCTATCTATGATCCCCTATATATACATATATATGGGGACGGGACGGAATTGTCAGGGAACGGCTGAACAGATGGAAGACACAGACAGGTTTTTTTGAGCATAGCTTGACTACAGTATCGTAGTTCCCGATTCTGCCCACTCGTCGATACACTGGCATCAGGCATCCTTCGATCCTCTTTTTTCCTCCTTCCCCTTCGTCCCCAAGTGGCCGGTGTCTCTTGCCTACGAGCTCCCCCTTCTCCTCTCTCTGTCCCCCGCCCTTCCCCAGAACTCCTCACAACCCTCCTCCCCTCCTCCCCTTCACCACACCGGCTCTCTCACCAAAAAAGGCTTCCCCCCATCAGTCGGAGTGTACAAGCATTTGTCCACGCGCGCGAAGGAACCGGCGCCGATTTCCCCAACGACCTGCAGGTGGATATGCCCCGTGAAATGAGAAATACGACAACCTGAGGTTGACTAGCGTACGGAGGGGATTATCAGGATAATGCCCGTACACCAGTAAACCACACAGTCACACACCACTCCCTCTTCTTAAGCACAAGAATGTACGTCAACAAATAAAGCCGTACATTCGGGCACGAGCATGCCCCCTGCACGTACCCACCTGCAGCTGATCTTCTTGCACTAAGTTCTCGTCGTGCTGGTTTCGGAGTGTACGGAAGCTGCGGGCAATGCTGGCGGTCACTCCTGCGGTCCTGGCAGCCCGTTGCCACCGCGCCAGTGGCGCCTTCACGACGGCGCCCTCAGAACCGCCGTACCCGCCGCCACCGTCGCCGCCGCCATCGCGGCCGTCGCCGTTGCTGCCGCCATTTCCTGCCGACGGCGCGACTCCCTTTCCACAGAGATCGCACGCCGACAAGGGCCGTACTGCAGACTTTTTGCAGGAGTGCCTCCCAGAGATCGTCCTAGAGGGCAATGAAGCCGCGTTCGAGCCGCAATCAGCTGCAGCTGCTGTTAGGATAGCGGAGGCAGCGGTGGTGCAGCCGCCACCGCCGCCGCCACCGCCGCCGTCGCCGTCCCCGCCGTGTCCATGGGCCCACGGGCCTATGAGCGGCATACCGCCGCTGATGGTAGCGTCGAGCGGAAATGCGAGTACGGAAGGTCGGCTGCTGCTGCTGTTGCGTTCCTTGCAGGCCGTTGAACACGAACCCACGGATCCCATTCGCCCACCTTGTCCACTTCCCAACGCCCCGGGACACCAGCGTCGACTGGTGCCGCCAATCCCAATCCCGCCATCGCCGCCGTTTGACCTCAGCCAACCTCCGGTGAACGACGTCAGCTCCGGATCACCGGCAGCGTCTAAAACACCGATGACGTCACCGTCGTCACCGCCGCTACCAGCGGCGGCGGCGGCGGCGGCGGCGCCGCCGCCGCTGCTATTGCCCGTCGCCGTTGCCAGCCCAGCACCGGTGGCGGAGTCAAGTTCCAAGGGAAGCAGAGCAGACGTGTTGAAGGGGCGGAGCTGTGCCAATGACACATTACTCGCATCTGGTAGGTTGTCCCCTTGTTGAGCTGCAGCCAACTCCTTGACATGAGCAGTAGCCATAGCAGTAGCCATGGCAGAAGCCATAGCAGCAGTAAGGGTAGTTCCAACGGCTACAGCCCCCGTAGTATTGGCGTCATCACGGCTGGCTGTAGTCAGCAACGGTTTGTGATTAGGATAGGGCAGCGGCGACGGCACATGACCGGGAGCGCACGGTGGCCCCTCCATTGCATCGGCCTTGGAAAAGGCGTGCGTCCATATCAGCCACGATGCGCCCCCAGCAAGGGAACAAGGAGATTCCAATTCCGGCGGCAGCGGCGGCGGCGGCGGCGGCACAGCTGCCGCTGCAGCGGCCGCGTTGCTACCCCTACCGAAGCTCCGGTACGACGCCAGCGCTGCAGCGCTGCTAGGTAATGGCATACCCCTGGGCTGGTTGGCGGTGTCCGGGGTGTTGGTACGGCCGGCGGATGGGCCAACCCACAACGACGCCGATCCATCTTCATCGTCACTTTGCAGGCATGGCGCCGCTGCTGGCACCATGCCGCTGATCTGTTGACGCGATGCGGTGGTGGGTGCAACGTGCAAGAACATGGGGCCTTGCTGCTGTCGGCCGCCGCCGCCGCCGCCGCCGCCGCCGCCACAACCGCTGGGTTCGGGGGTCCCCGGCGGCGAGGACCTCGCCAACAGACCGGGAAGCGTCCCGGGCCCAAAGAACACCATCTCGCCCTCCCCGGCGCCGTCGTCATCGCCGTCGCCGCCGCCGTGGCTGCGGCGGCCGTCTTGCACTGCAGCACGCATAAGTAGCGGCGGCAGCAGCACCTGGGAGTTATTCCTAATCCTGGAGGCGGCCAGGGGCGTGTCGAGGCTGCAGTCATCCGTCGGCGCCCTTGCAGGTGTTGGTGATGTAGCTATCGCCGTCGCCGCCGCTGTCGCCGCCAATGTCGTCGCCGTCGCCATCGCCACGGAGGTGGACAAATGCGGCAGCAGTGGTTGCGCTGGTGGTGATGGCGGCTGTGTTGCAAGTGGTAGGCAGGAAGGAGGGGACGCTATGGATGAGGCACGCTGTGATGTGCACTCGGCCATCTGCAGTCCCATGGGTCGGTCGGCGGAAGGAGGACTAATACTCGCCATCTCCCGAGGCGACACAGCACCGTTAGACCTCTTCCTAGCTGAGCTGGTGCTCGGTGGGGAGCTGCCCGCCTGAAGACAAAGAATGGGATGGAGGGGGAGGCCCATCGCCGGAAAGTCAGTGCAAGCTAGACATAATCGCATTCCCATTGATGAAACAATAACCAAGCTTTAACAGGCAAGCCAACGCTTCGCACAAAATGGAGCAGCAACTCGCCACTCGTCAAGCCGATGCGAGGCATTAGACATTAGGCCCTAGACAACCCGAGCAGCGGGTAGCTAGTCTATTAGCTTAGGAGCATCACGCAATATTTGTAAGTGATTCCCACTAAAAGTTCCTTTGAGTCCTGTAGGAACTGCTTTAGTCCGTGCCTCGAAACCCTTGGCGCTTACTTCCATCATGTATGGGTCCCAACTGCGTGACACAGCGCCGATGGGCTCTTAAAGACCGGTTTCACTAGGTATCATGTAAACCAAGCTTAATGCAGCCTGCATAGTCATAACACAGCTGGTTAAACTACGCCAGTTGCGCTTTCCGTGCATGACACTCACATCATGGCTTGCGGCACATAAGGAACATCTCAGACATTCGTCAAGCTCACCTTCATCTCCCAAGAACGCAAAAGGTTCCCAAGCAATAATTCAGGTTTGCGCGCTTTGCCGGACGTACTTCCAGCAAGTTCAGCGAGGATAGAACCGACAAGCCATTGCTGTCGTAACCTGGACGAGAAGGACTTAGGAGAGTGGTGCTGCTTGATAAGTTGCTTCCAATAAGTTGCGTCTGTCGTCTACGACGAACTCCTTTGTAAGCGTTCTGGCTGGAGAAAATGTCAAAATGTTAGCCATGGGATACTTTATGATGTTATTAATTATGTTTTCGCAAACTCTGGCGTCATTGGAAGTGCTACAAGGAATGCCTAGCTGAATACCAGTGCGCGTGCTACTTCAAGTTTCATTAAACAAAATTGCAGTATTGTAACTTTTAATATTTAAGCCTTTAACCTTTAATGAATAAGCCTTGTTATCCTGTGTCCTTACCTCATCTCCCTTACCTGCAATTACCCCGGTACGTCCGTCACGGTACGGGAGGGCACCGATAACATTAACGGCACAGCTTGCAAGGGCATGCGCAAGTCTTCCATGTTATGCACCACAGTAGTTGAAGTGTTCGCTGACATACCACAGGGCTCCTTGCATGACTACAAGCGTGGGTCATTACACGCTGCATGTATCCTCATCTAAGTTGTGAGCAGTCACTAGCCACGCTCCAAGCCTTGCAATCAAAAGTTTCAGGCATGGATGCATTAAGCCCCAGCGCCAAAAAAAGAACATGTATGTTTATGTCAATGCTACGCCGACCTTGACCTCGCGCGCGGACTTTGGCGGTACGTGCGCAACAATGCTTTAAGGGGTTTTGTCTACAACAGCAGCCAGCAGCTCGGGATCTGCTAAAGCGCGTTTCATACCAGCTCCATGTAAGTTAACCAAATTTAAAAAATACTTTGTCAATGACGCCCACTAACTAATTTTTTCCACTAACCTTCCACTGGGACAGCTCACTCTGTGCTCCTTAGCACCTTACTTAGCATAACCTGTCGTGTCGCAATGAGTGCATGTGCACAGAAAGTTCGGTCTCTTGGAGTCGGAGGGCTACTACGTGGAAAGTAAGCAAACCGCCCAGCAGCATGCAATGCTCGTCTATCTGTCTGTCTGTCTGTCTGTCGTCACTTATCTATCCATATCTCGGACTTCCATTATTCACGGAAGGTATCGGAACTCGAAAGCGGGCTCCACCATTTGATTGCGGCGGTTGCGGCGGTTGCTTATTTATTTTATTGGATTCGAAAGGCTGTTGGATAGATATACATACATGCATACATGCACGCAGCAATCGGCTGATAAATATGCTGGCTGGGTTCCCTGTAACCCTCTTGCCACACCGCGTCCTGATTGTCGCGCCTTATAATGGCAGCATTCTTCCGAGCAGCAGCCGATCACATTTGCGGATAGGCGACAAAAGACGGCTGCGATGCGAGCTACCCCATCCACCGGCTGGGGTAAGTAATACGTATGCTGCTATAGAGATGTCATTATCATGCCCGGTAAATATAGTGTCTTCGTTGTTCCACCTCGCATTTTTCGAGTTTCGCCAATCAGGCCTTTGACGGCCCTTTTCGACTCATGCTGTAGTGGATACCGTACTGCCAAGCTGATTTGGTGATTTCCATTTGGCGAGAGCCAAAAAAACGCCTTCGAAAATTGCCTTCGCACATGCCAATTGGTGACAGTTCAAGCGGGAAATAGGTCTGGATTTTCACGTGTTCTGAAAATTGGTAACGGCCAAAAGGCCCACCGCGCACGTAGGACCTTCTGGCGACTGGATTTGCGATTACTTGACATTCCTAGACTACTTTAGCAAGACATCATTAAGGATTAGTGCTCGCTGTACAAGCAGAGGCAAGCTGTCGGTAGACTCGGCGGTCAACTTTGGTCGTAGCAAAGGACCTACAACTGTCACTAAAAACGAACAATAATAACAACTATAATATATATATGATAGGATTAACCAGTCTCAGCGTGATTTTTTGCTTTTATGTTGGACCATTTCTTTAGTTTGCGCGGCATTTGGCGACCAGTCGTACAGGAACCCAGTACCCATTTTCACGGCGCACCCAATTGGTGATTTTCACCAATTTCATGTCACCAAATCAGCTTGGCAGTACGGTAGTGGAATTCGAGGCCGGCCCAGTTTGCTAAAACCGGATGACTCTGTTCCTGTTTGAACCGCACGGGAGAGGGCGGGGGTGTGTAGATAGAGCTACATGCCGTGACACATTCCATGTCGCATTAGGTTCCATTTGAAAACCCTTCAGCCCTACCCTGATATATGTATGGTTAACTAGGGGTAGCTCCAAGTCCTGTGGGTAGTTCAATTTAAGGCCCACAGTGGTGTAAATGGGGCGTGTTGTATGCTGTAATTCTGGACTAATGTACGGCCAATATTGCCGTTCCTTCAACGAGTGATGGACGATGCATGATAGCCTGTATTTGTATTTATCGACAAAGGCAGAGCTTGTATTTGCAAGGAGAAGCTTGCTGAGTGCGTTTAACTGGTTGTCGTTAAGGAGTAGTCCACGTGATGAGCGGTTGACAAAGCCAAAGACATTTTCTTAGGCGACAGCTTCCCTTATACCGTCTGGTAGTAGCGACTTGAGTGGATAATTCTATAACGGTTCGCTGTGGTCATTTCACGCAAATCTCGCTTTCCTTTTCGGGCCAGCGCACCTGGTTTAAAGCAAAGGCGGAGCCAAGCCGTGACTATCGCTCGCAAAAGCCAACTGTAATAGGCATATCCAATGACTGGATTTACTGGTAAATTGGATTATTCCCTGGAATTCTGGCAAGGTCCCGCAAGTTTGCTTACGGCATAGATGCGAACACCCTTATGTGTATGGCAGGACACCCTTTGGATCCGCTGAGTCCAGATGAGATCCGCCAAGCTGCAGATGTTTGCCGACTGTATGCAAAGCAGGAGGGTGTGGAGGCTTTGCGCTTCAACGTCATAACTTTGCAGGTGCCATGGATGCACGTGCTTCAGTTGGTGCCAGGAATGCGACGAACTTCCATAACTGTTTAGTTTCTGGGTCCGCTTTTCTACCTCTTTCCCTCGCAACTCGGCTCCGATTTCCCTTTCACCATACTCCAGGAACCGCGCAAGGTGCAGCTCCTGGCCTATGGCAAAGATCCCAGCAATGTTACCCTTCCCCGACGCACATTCTGCATTCTGCAGCTGCCAGGTCTGTCTGGGGTGGTGGAGGCCGAGGTCGAACTTCAGGTGAGCCGGTCCCCATGCTGCCTGCCTGCCTGGCATAACATTTTCTGTATGCTGCCTGCCTGGCTGCCTGCCTGGCATAACATTTGCTGGACAGAGTTGCGATGTGCGCGGCAGCGATATCGCGCGTGACGCCGTCCACTGCGTCCTATTGTGTGCTGCACCAAGATGCCATGTGCTTCGCCGTGCGCAGTACGGCATTGTTGTCAGGTGCGCGACGCAAGAAGCTGCGTGGCGCCGTCACGGTCGTCTGGTCGCCATTTTACGCTGCCGAGAAGTAGCTACCTGACTGCCCGCCTGCCCGCCCACCTGACTGACAGACAGACTGACTGACGGACAGACAGACAGACTGACTGACTGACTGACTGCGCTGCTGCTGCTGCTGCTTCTGCTGCTGCTGCTCAAACAGGCGGGACAGTCACCCACCACCCAGATGGTGACGGCCTGGGAGAAGGTAAGGGTAATGGTAATGGTAATGGCATTATGGTGGCAGATGGGGTCGAGGTTGGAGGGGGGGAGGAGACCGGATGGGGGGTAGATGAGAGGCGCCGGGGGTAGGTACGACGAAACACAGATGATTGGCGAAAGGAAAATACCATAGACGGTTATCCCAAGGTAAGATCAACAATGAAGGACAATATGTAAGATACGGACCCGTAGTGACTTGGCCGCGGGGGGGAGGCCGAATCAGCAGGTCAGGACTTTTCAGTTCTCCATGCAACCTCACATGAAGCAGAATATGCTTTACAGACACTTTTAACACGCGCCCAAATACACCTGCGCCTTACCCCTGTATGCATTTCAGCTGCCAGCTGCTTGCATTGCCGTGCCGTGCCGTGCCGTGCCGTGCCCTGCCGTGCCGTGCCGTGCCGTGCCGTGCATTTCAGCTGCCAGCTGCTTGCATTGCCGTGCCGTGCCGTGCCGTGCCGTGCATTTCAGCTGCCAGCTGCTTGCATTGCCGTGCCGTGCTGAAATGCATTACGAGACAATGGTCAGTTGTGGTGGGTGCGTAAGCTCGTGATTGGGGCACAGTTGCACTCCCACGGTTGGTTGCCGCTGCCAACGATCAACTACCAACACGGACCGACCCACGGGTCTTCCGTCCTGCACCAGCAAGCTGGCTGTGTTCCGATCCAACCCACGCCTCGGTCGGATAACGCAGGTCGAGGGCGTCCATGCGCTTGCCAGCCCTGACGACTGCTTCGAGGCGGAGGCGATTGCCAAGGCCGACCCACGGGTCGTGCAGCTGCTCCGGGAGCGGTGCGTCCGAACAACTCAACTAACTCAACGACCAACTGAACAGATTAAAACAGCGAACGGTCGAAAGCGGCGACGGTCCGGGCCTGTCCTGGCACATTTTTGGGCGAGGCCCCGGGCGCGAAGCGCCTTCGGGGGGCCGAGCCCCCGGGGTTCACCCCTGTCAGTCAGTCAGTCAGTCAGTCAGTCAGTCAGTCAGTCAGTCAGTCAGTCAGTCAGTCAGTCAGTCAGTCAGTCAGTGGCATACATATCTCGCCCCGCAAAAAATAGCATTTGAATGCTATATCCATACTATATTGAAATGTCTAAGGAGACATTCCAGATAAATCGGAGCGCGAAGATAGCTTTCCATGGCTGCGAGGTAAACATAAATTTACATATCACGCTCCGCAAAAGGTTTAATATGGAAGCTATAAGCATTCTATAACGAAATGCCAAAGGAGAAATTGCAGATAACTCGGAGCGCGAAGATAGCTTTCCAGGGGTGCGAGTTTGACAAACAGTTACATATCTCGCTCCGCAAAAGATTGCATGTAGAAGCTATATGCATTCTACATTCACCGGCCAAAGGAGACATTCCAGATAAATCGGAGCGCGACAAAGATGGCTTTCCATGGCTGCGAGGTAAACATAAATTTACATATCACGCTCCGCAAAAGGTTTAATATGGAAGCTATAAGCATTCTATAACGAAATGCCAAAGGAGAAATTGCAGATAAATCGGAGCGCGAAGATAGCTTTCCAGGGGTGCGAGTTTGACAAACAGTTACATATCTCGCTCCGCAAAAGATTGCATGTAGAAGCTATATGCATTCTACATTCACCGGCCAAAGGAGACATTCCAGATAAATCGGAGCGCGACAAAGATGGCTTTCCATGGCTGCGGGTTAAACATAAATTTACATATCACGCTCCGCAAAAGGTTTAATATGGAAGCTATAAGCATTCTATAACGAAATGCCAAAGGAGAAATAGCAGATAAATCGGAGCGCGAAGATAGCTTTCCAGGGGTGCGAGTTTGACAAACAGCTACATATGTCGCTCTGCAAAAGATTGCATGTAGAAGCTATATCTGTACTGTGTCAACCTGCCAAAGGAGAAATTGGCAGGTCGGCAAACAAACTCTTTCTCACATGCCCAGGCGAATGAATGCCTCTCGCATTGTCGATAGCATACTATCTCAAAGCTGTTGTTCATAACAACAAGTGTGTGCCCTAAACATAACGGCGTTCATGTGCTTGCAGTCTTATGCCGTACATACGGGCTGCAAGTGGCTGCACCGGGGCCTCGCCCCTTTTCGGCTTTGAAAAGCCGCCCCCCTAGTTCCTTTACTCTTTATATCGTTAGTGCGGTAGTTTATTTTTATCTAGGTAACAGGTAACATGCATACGACGTAGGAAAAAAATATTAAATATATTTTCCACCGCCGGAATTGCAAAGTCCATTTTACCCGAGTTCTTTTTTGGAGAACCAAGTTTTGCGGGTCTGGCGAATCGGGGTACCCATTCTCGACCTGCATGTGCGTGTGAATACCTGTCCCCAGACAGCTGTCCTTCGTGACCTCCTGGGACGCCCCCCTAACACCGCCAGGTCTGATCAACCCATCCTCGCTTCCTACCTTCGCGATGCTGCCGATTGACCTGCCGTACGTTCGTATTTGCCGTACGTAGGTACGGCGTCATGGATCTGGAGCTTGTGTGTTGCGATCCCTGGTCCATTCACGCGAGCCCCCTTGAGGAGCGAGCCATTCAGTGTTTCATGTACCTGAAGACCTGGTAGGTGGCTGGCAGTAGCTGCTGCGGGTCGCTGGACAGCTGTAGCGCGTGGATGACTGTAGCGGGTAGCTGTGATGGCTGTATGGTGTGGTTCTGGGGTTTGGCAATGACGGCAGTAGTTGGTTTACCGAGTAGCCGGTGCGGCTGTAGCTGCGGGTACTTGCTTGAAGGGAGGCTGTAGTTCCTTTGTAGCTGTTTCCCTGTCTGTCAATCCAATACACTTTGCTACTGCCTTCCGCCTCTGGTTCTGTTGTCCACTACCACTGCTGCTGCTACTAACTGTGCTGCCATTGTTTCTGATATTGCTGCTACAGCCCGGAAGACAATGCATACGCACACCCGCTGGACTTCGTACCCATCGTCAGCATGGACAGCCGTACGGTCGTACGCATTGATCTGCCGTACAAAGGTCCTACGGTGGAATGGAACAAGGAAAACAACAACTATCACACGTGGGTTTGTAAAGAGGGGGAGATGGCGTGGGGTTGGGGAGGCCGGGGCCCGAGGGAAGAGGAAGAGGAAGATGAGGCGGGGGTTATCCCGGACGGGGTAGGGGTAGGAGTAGAAGTTCGGTACGTTGTGGAAGTTACGGAAAGGGATTTGGGGGAGAGGAGCGGACAGCAAAGGTGGGTGAGGGGAAAGAAGCGTGAGGGAGGGGGGTGCATCGGGAGGTTGGGGGATGGGGGGATGGGGGGGAGGTGCGTCGGGAGGAGGTTGAGAGGAGTGAGAGACGGAGAGAGGAAGGAGGAAGTAGGGGGAAGAGGGTGAGGGGAGAGGGGGAGGGGGGCGGGAGGTGGTGTTGCCCGAGCGGCGGGGCAAAGAGATCATCTAGCTGGTCATTGTAGAACACAGCTTCTGGATATCCCGTTTGACCTGATGTATGTGTGTGTGGTCGTCGACAGTTTGCGATTAAACTCACCATGTATGTATGTATGTTCGCTTGCTTACGTGCTTGCATGTGTATATGCTTGTCTGTGTGGGTACACAGGGCGCTGCAGAAGGAAATTCGTACAGACCTGAAGCCGATTAACATCGTACAACCTGAGGTGGGTGGGTGGGGGAGAGTGGTGGGTTTCGGGGTTGGGACGGGGGGTGGGCGGGGAAGTGGTACATTCGCGTCGGAGATTTTTTCTGACCCTTTTAATTGTCATTGCGTGCATGTGAAGTGCGTGTGGGGATTGTGAATAAAAGAACGCGTAAGAGATAGAGAGTGTGTGTATGTATGTGTGCATGTACGGCAGCACGTACGGCGCTTCGGCGCACACGTTCATACTAATTGCGTTGTGCAATTTCTACACACTTCGTTACAATCCTCCCTGTAACATCCATCCATCCATCCATCCATCCATCCATCCATCCATCCATCCATCCATCCATCCATCCATCCATCCATCCATCCATCCATCCATCCATTCATCCATCCATCCATTCATCCATTCATCCATCCATCCATCCTATATCACATGAATGAAAAAATGTGCATGCAACAACAATCTAGATATTTTGATGGCGTTCTTTCTTTTTGAAGTCCCTCCCGCCCCGCCCTGCGCCTGTAGTTCCCTTTCGACCGGCCCCCCCCCTTCGCGTGTGTTTTCCCTTCCGCTTGCTTCGGGCCGGGAGCGGCGTCCGCGGCCCGCAGGGCCCGAGCTTCACTGTGGAGGGTCAGTTGATCCGGTGGCACAACTGGAGCTTGCGGTTGGGCTTCAACTACCGGTACGGGGCCGTTCAACTACCGGTAGGGGGCCGTTCAACTGCCGGTACTACCGGTCACTGACCATCGCTTTACGCCCTCATGCCTTAAAGTTGGGCCACCATCTCCACAGGTTTTCAGCTCTTTTAAAAGTTGCTGTTGTGTTTTTACCCTTTTTTGTTTTTGTTCCCACCATCGTCGTCTGGGCCACGTGGGGAAGGGAGGGTATCGTACTGCACGATCTGCGGTACCGCAACGAGGGGAGGGAGCGGCCCGTGATGCACCGGCTCTCATTAGTGGAGATGGCTGTGCCGTACGCAGATCCAAGGTACGTGTGTACGGCACGCGTTCTGCTGTACATAGATTTTTTTATGATATTATAGATTTTTTACTGATATGATTCGGGCGCAGGATGACTTTTGTATGCATCCGTGTGGCAAAGTTCCGGAGAGCTTTATGTTTCTGCTTTGTTTGGACTTTTTATGATGTTTTGTTTTGTTTTGTTTCCTCAGGGAGCCGTACGTCCGCAAATGTGCCTTCGACGTGGGTGACTACGGCCTGGGCTACTGCACCTTCCCGCTCGCTCTGGGCTGCGACTGCCTGGGACACATCCACTATTTCGATGTCACACTATCAAACTCAAAGTACGTTCCGTCGTGTACGACGTGTCGTACATGTGTTCAATGCCGTGTAGCTAACGAGAAAGCACTTTTTGCCGCTTCTTTTATTGCTTTTGCTTTTGCTGCACACTACTCAAATAGATTACTATTTACCTCGATCCCTGGATGATCGCCGCCGTGGTTTTTGTCGGTCGTGTGATGCTGTACACGTTTGTTTTGTGCCGTACTTTGTGATATTACGGGTTTTAGCTCCAGCTATCGCAGGAACCTGTATACCCGGCGTAAAACCTTAAAACCCTAAAACCAAGCTAGAAGTTGTTACAAAAGGTCCACACGAATGCGGGGTTGTCCGTCAAAACCCGAAGGCCATGGACTATATATGGACTTTCAATATCGATTACATATACTGAAAGTAACTTCCATCATACAGCCGAAGGCGGTTTGGGTCCTGCCACCTCGACCCCTCCTCATATCCAGTCATCCGACATCCGCATAGACATGCCAGCCATCACCACTAATCCAGCTTGCGAAACTTAGTCTACAATCTAGACCTGAGTAACAATCCGTATGCCTAATACTCCAGATCAATATCGGGCATCGGCCCAGGAGTCGAACCGAGGACCTTCATCTGCTTATTGCAGCGGTGTCACCAGGCAGACCAAAATAATCCATTATGCTTGGCAGTGCGTAACTTTTTAAGCAGCCTCTCGCACAAATGTGTCCGGTCGTACTTCGCGAATAAAGCCTACGTACATCTCGTCCCAAAAGTCAGGAGCGAATTTTGCCGCGCAGATGCGCGCGTGCGATTCTCAAAATGCGCCTGTACAAGTGTATATAAATTTTCTTGGCGGATGAGGACCAGGTGCGCCAGCGCGTTGCGCAGGTGGGCATGTTGGCCATAGCCGCACGCGGCATGCAGGCTGGACTATTGCGTGGCTGTTTTGCAGTAACTAATAGCACCGAAAGCCAACGTCGTAGCTTGCAACTCTGGGCTCGTGAAACTGCCGCGGAAGATGAAGCGCTGGCGAAGAGGCAGTTGTATGCAGCACCTTATTCAGAGTAAAGTCAAATTACAAAGTTGCGCAAAGTATAACATACATAAACTTAATTAAACATAAGAACAGATAAGACGTTTAGAGCGTTGTCGGTGACATGGACGCCGCTGTTGGCTTGGAACAGCTATTTGCTGTGCATAGGGACGTGCCCGCGTTAGCCGTGTTGCAACACCTCAGGATGGATTTCAGCCAGCAACAGCCTCAATAGCTGCTGCACAACCACCGGGAATGTCTTCAGTTGGGCACGTGTAGCTTTGGTCGGCGGGGTCGAGCAACGTACGCAATGCGCACAGAAACCAAGGTGCAGCGTTCTGTAACATCGCCAACATATCCGGTACGCGGTGGCAGGCTTGCCGAGCACGAAATGAAGGGGGGGTCGCATCTCACCATTCAACTAAGCATGCATGTGATCGGTTGAATGCTCGGTAGCGTGCGAGTTTACCCCTATCAGGATGTTTGTTTGCATATCCCTCCAAGCGAGAGGGCTTGCACCTATGCTGATGTTCGTTCCAAGAAGTGAACTGAGGACTGATGCTACGGTGAAAGATTTGCACGTAAATTCGCCCGTGCAATAAAACGCCCTGTAACTTGCTTACGCTAATCTCACATTCCAATATGCCACTGCACTTTCCTCTCCAGCCTGGCCACATTCTCTTCCTCGCAAACGTACTTGGGCACCTTACAATCAAACAACATACGTGCTTTGGAAACGCGGGCAGCTGCTTCACAAGGACCCCCCTATTTTCCAAGACCAATGTTTATTTAATCCATGGACTCGATACAACACGTATTTCACTGTACGGCCCTGCAAGCCTTCGCCATTTCCTAAGTTTCACAAACCCTATAAGCAAAGCCCTTCCCTCCGCCAGGGCGCAACAACCGGCGCAAAGTCCCTTCAGCAAAAGGTTCCATAACTCCTATCTTTTTTATTTATTTCATATTATACATAACTCCTGTTGTTTTATTGGTTGTATTACGCGTTCACGAGCACAGAGGCGAGCCCGTAACGCTTCCCAAGGCGGTTTGCATGCACGAAGAGGACACCGGCCTACTGTACAAGCACGTGGATTAGTAAGTTGCTTAAACCAATAGTCTTCTGACGTACAATGTCGTCGTACACCCCTGACTCTCCCTTCAAACACAGATACACGCAATTACACACACGCACTCACACGCACACACATACATACACACACATACACATACACATGACATACCCATCACGCAATTGAATCTCATACTTGGCGTACTCCAAACTTGCATCCGTTCTATCCAGGCCTATTTCCCCCGCATGCACACGAACCCGCAGCCCCTCCCTTCCCCTTCCCACCACCCAGGCCCCCAAACCTCCTAACAAGCAAACACTCCCCCCAAAGGCCTAATAGCACCCGCATCACCTAATCATCTCTTCCCCCCGCTCGGCCTGTACGGCCAGTCGTACAGGTCACGCCGAAAGTCGTCGCGGTCGTCGCCTGGTGCTCAGCCACATAGCCACCGTAGTCAACTACGAATACGCCTTCTACTGGTACCTATATCTGGACGGGACTATCGGTCTGGACATCAAACTGACGGGGGAGCTGTCCACCAATATGGTGTCGCCGGGTGAGAAGGGGGGTGTCGTACGGAAAGGAAAACACACACAGACACGCACATGTCCGACTAATATATCTAGTAGCTAGGTTACAAGTTACAAGTTCCACACACAAGTGCGGGTGTGTCCGTAAAAGCCGGGGGGGCCATGGACGTTGAAAGGTGCGCGGTAAACGCGCTCAAGAGAAAGTAATAGTTGTGATAGCTAGGTAAGTAGCTTCCAGTTTAATCGGGAAAATAGCACGCAGACATGCACGCCATCACTTCTTGCCCCCAATCCCCCTTTTCCCCCCTTCCTCCCCCTCTTCCCCCTCCAGCAGTTTCGGACCTTTCGGACACAGGCAGTCCACTTCCCACTGTCTCGCAAACGATTCCCCCCTCTCCCCCTCCCCCTCTCCCCCTCCCCCTCTCCCCCTTCCCCCCTCTTCCCCTCACATCCCCCTCCCCCTCCCCTCCCCGCTCGTCCCCTCCCCCCTCTTCCACGGCCCTACCCCCAGGAGAGAACCCCGCCGCACCCCAGCACGGCACACTGGTGGGCCCCAACGGGGTGAACGCGCAGCACCACCAGCACATGTTCTGTGCCAGGTTGGATGCCGCGGTGGATGACGAGGAGGGCGGCAAGGAGCTGGTGGTCAAGGAGGTGCGCGTGCGCGTACGTGTGCGTGCTTATGTGTATAACCTCCTCATTCACCGCCGGCGCTCTCCATAGTGCCGTACCAAAACAAAACCTCTCTCGGCAATTCTTAACTCACACACGCGCGCGCGCGCGCGCCCGTGTCCCCCGGCAGGTCGATGTTGAGAGCATGCCATGGGACGGCCTGACTAATCCGTACGGCAATGGCTTCCGTACCGTGGAGACGCCGCTTACGTCGGTACACCAGGCCCAGAGGAGCATTGCACCGGAGAAGGGGCGTGTCTGGAAGTTCGTAAATCCACGGGTAGGCCGGCGATGGGGTGAGAGAGGGAGAGGAAGAGGGCTGGGGGAGGGAGAGGAAAGCCGAGAGGGAGAGGGAGAGGTGACGAGAAGCAGCAAGCTGAGGTTGGACGACAGGAGGGGAAAGGGGGGAGATAGGGAGTGTGTGTGCATGTGTGTATCGGTGGCAGTACGGAATTGTCACCATGTGCTCTGACGCGGTCGGTTTAACCATGGCCGCGTGTGGAGCCGCCATTGCTATATAACCCCCTCCCCGTACATACATACATACATGCATGGAAAAAGACGCCTTTTCCCTTTCGTGAATTAATTTTTGAAGTGCGAGGAGGTGATATATTCCCGATTCCTTACTTGGCTATTTGACAGCCCAGTAGACCCATCGTGTTTTATTCACTTTAATTGTTCGTTAGGGGCGGCTTTAACTGTTCCGAAGGCGACACATTTAGGACACATGTACGACATGCAACCGAAAACGGCCCGCAGGTGATCAACCCCATCACCCGCACCCCCGTCGCCTACAAGCTTGTCCCTGCCGCTCACCCCCCACTCGCGGCCCAGCCCGGCTCCCTCATCGCCCATAAGGGACATTTTGCCACAAAGCAGCTGTGGGTTACGCCGTACGACGATGGACAGGCAGGGCGGGGAGAGAGGGGGGGGGCCTGGGAATGAGGGGATACTTCATGGGGGTGGGCGCTGATTAATCTCCGAGGTTAGGTTTTAGGTTTTTATTATTTTTACCTGCTATTGTTTGTTGTGGATTGCTATGTTGTACGGGCATTCGGAGGCTATACTTTAGAGAGGAGAAGATCCCCCGGGGGGGGGGGGTTGTCCCAACGGGGGATTTAGTTTTGGGGAAGCAAGAAACATAGTCTTGATTAGGCAACACACACATTTTATTATCTTTATTCATGTCTGCTTTGACTTGAGCTATCTACGTAGAAAATGTGTAGTATATCTTACCTACATCTTAATTAGTGAAATGTTTGCATGCCAGTCATGCATCTGTCGATCTGTATGCGCGTCTGTATGTCCGGGCATGTGCCACGTGCGCAGAGCTGGCCAGCGGGCAGCTACGTGTTCGGTGCTAAGCAATGCACAGGGTTGGCGGACTGGACGGAGGAGGTGAGGGAGTCCTAAACCGCGATGCCGTTCCTAATGTACTGCATACTGCCGTGATGATGTACGGGCGTCATGTACGGACATGCGGGGTTGGAGCTACACTGTCCATATGCACGACCAAGCTTTAGTGTGTGCATGTGCTGCTTCATCATTAAGGGCTGATTCATCGGAACGGTACGACGGACACCCAACCCATGTGTTTTTTTTGCGTGTGTGTGTTTTCACGTGTGTTTCATCCCCTTTCCCTTTCTCTTTTGCTGCTTCCTGTTTCTCCCTCCCAAACCCAACCCTCAAAACCCAACCCCTCAAAAATGGAAATATTGGCGAAAAGGACTGGTCCCTGGAGGGGTCCGACCCCGTGGTATGGTACTCCTTTGGCGTGACTCATATTGTACGACCCGAGGACTTCCCCATCATGCCCGTGGAGGTGTGTGTGCGTGTGTATGGGAAGGAGGGGGGAGGAGGGGGGTTTGGAGGGGGTATTCGGGGGGAATGGCGTGTGCGTATGTGTGAGTATATCGTTAAATGCTGGATGGCGCGCGTGCGCGTGTGCGCGTGTATGCGCCGCGTATGTGTGTGCATACGCCGTGTCGAGCGGTCGGCAGGTTAACTTTGGTCGTTTTAATTAAAGTACAACGACTTCAGACAGCAAAGAAGGTTGTATGTGTGTGGGGCCGCCAGGAGGGAAAGAGCGCGAAAGAGCTCCAGCACTGGCCACGTTATTTAGAAACTAATGGTATATTTATTTAGCTCAAAGCTTTTCAGTTCAGCTCTTCCAATAAGGAGTACTTTTCAACCCCCCTGCCTGCACCGGGGGGAGCCCCTGCCGTCGCTGCATGCCGCCGCCGCCGCTTGCGAACAACAAAAAAATCGCTTCTCATGGCGCACTCTTAATGCGATTTGCGTTGTGCCCCTCCTCGGGTTTTAAGGTTTAAGGGTAGTAGGATTGTCTCCCGCGGACATGAACCCGCGGACATTCTCATCATTAGACGCGACGTTGTCCCCTTCCCCGTCCTATTCAACCTTCTGTTGCTGATCCGGATCCGGTCACTCACGTCATTAACATATGCCATAAAAACACGACTTGACATACATACTTCTATATATTATAAATACGTCAATATCTCTTTTTTATTATTATGCTCGCGACTGTAAACTTGGAAATTTCCAGCATTTACATGTATTCTTATTATGTATGTGTACACACACATACATACACACATACACATCAGGTGTGCGGCTTCAGCCTGAAGCCCTCGGGCTTCTTCACCCGGAACCCATGCCTGGACCTGCCGTACAACAAGAACACTGCCTCGGTGGACAACCACTCGACGGCGGTTGCCGTCAACGGTAACAACACCGGTAACGGCAAGGGTACCTGCTGCGGTGCAAGTTAGTTGGCGGGAAGCAGAGTAATGGAAGGTGACAGTCTCACTGCGCATACACCACCAGTATGCGGAAGGTGCGATAGGAGGTGGAGTACCCTCTCAGGCAGGGGGATGGAAAGGAAAAGACACAAACCCTGCGGTGGAGAAGAAGGCTAGTGCGTGAGTGTGTGTGTGTGTGTGTGTGAAGGGGGGAGTTGAGTTGAGCATATGCCAAGGAGGTTAGCCCATTGTTGATGTGAGGTGTCTGTGTGTGGGGAGAAGAGGGGGGGCGTCTCGAGGAGGGCTTGGGGGTTGTGCGGGTTATATGGGCGGCGGCGTGCATTCTGACCCGTGTGCTCCCTACCGAGAGGCGAAGTGACATTTGTCGTACATGTCACTGTCCCGATGGTCGTACATGTGGCTGTTAGCAGAAGACGAAAGGCGGGATGCGGGGTCTCAGCGGGAGTTGTGGGGACACTCTTGCCAATATGCCGTACAGTACTGCTAGCGGTGGTGTATATATGATACATCGGGACAATATTATTGTGTGTTTGTGTGTGTCTCTGCGAAATGAGCCTTATATGAACATGCAGACCTTTTTTTTAAGTCTGGACACGTACATATTCTTGTTTCTTGTTTCACCCAAGCCTGACTTAGGGTTAGCCTATGGTTACATGGGTTTGAATGGAGGTCTGTAATAAGCCTGATGCGTATGTGCCGTACACCTACAACTGCAGCGTATCCAGCTTAAAAGTTAAAAGCCTGAAATGTCAATCTGGTGTGTGTAGGCAACTCTGTAAAAAATCTGCATGTATATGTTTGTATCCATACGCGCATATCTACTGGAGGACCATATCCATGAGGGAAAGGGACACTTGCTTTGGGGAAGGGGGAGGATCTCCTGCCCGGCAGTGAGGTGGCGAGCAGCAATGGGTGTGGCGAGCATATATGTATAAATAGGAAGGGGTGCTCGCATCTGGCCCACCAATTTCCCGGCGACCACCTGGTTTTAATACTGGCAGGTGACTCAAAACATATTCCCTAGTGACAGACCACCTTTTGGAAGGGAATTATTTTCTCGGCAACCACTTGGTCACCACCTTGTAACCACTTTTAATTAAAAACACTGGCAAAGCCTACCCTTGGGGTATTGTTCCCTTTTGGGGTCTGGGGCTCTCGCTGTCATAGCGCTACGCGCAAAGCACGTTTGCGAAAAGTCCATACGAAGTAATAATAACAATGCAAGCAGCAGCTGATCATCTCTTCGCCGCCTTGTGAACCTCGAAACGCTTTTCATTTCATTTCATTTCACACACAGGTGCTACCTACACGTGAAGTTAGGTCCCGATGACAGCGCAAGGACCAAAGCACCCAACGAGTCCATGTACGTTGATGCCATGGCCAGATCCTTTTAGCAGTAAATAGTACACATGCAGGAAAGGTCGCTGCGGATATGCGCGGGCGCGCGGGCGCACATATATAAACATTACCTCAAAACATTTATACAGAGGATAAGGTTGGTGTTTTTTCACACTGCCGTACAACTAGTACGGCACCGGTGTACGAATAGGACCATGCTTACTTTATCGGCTCACACAATAACTTATCGGGTTAAGAACCGCGCCGACTCTGAATCTAAGCAATGCCACTCAGTCAATAAACACTATTTTTTCCCACGTTGTTGCTGTGTCCAGTGTTGATCAGGTAGAACCTCCTTCCGGCTCTTCCTCTCCGTGAAGCCGCGCCCATGCATGTGCCCATGTACGCGCGCATTCATAAGCGACACGGGAGCCCCGGTGGCGGGCGCCAACCACGTGGGTCGTACGTGTAGCCGCGGTGGCCGTACACATACCAATTGAGTATTAGGAAGTTGTGGCCATGGCCCTGCGGTAACCAATAAAACCGTTACCCCGTCCAGAATACTTCGGGTTGTTTGATAATAACCGCTTGTACGGCAAAGAAGGACGACGGTTGACGCTTATTGGGCTGGTTCAATGGCATGTACGTATGTGTATACACCTACATTACTACTGTATATATACATATATATGTATATGTATATACATATACACGTGTGCCGGCGCGCACATGGACAGAAACAAGCATCAGTCCAGGAACGTGCAAACAATACTCCCAAGACCCTTCCCCTCCATTCCCCCGACTCCCCCACCTCCATAGACAAATTCCTCGGGGCGTCCCTGGAGTATTCTCCGCACAGGTTGAAGAGCAGCACGTGCAACATCTCGTGGCCCAAGGTGTGCGCCAGCCAGGACAGTCTTCTCCAGGGAGGGAGAGGCAAGGAGCGAGAGACAGGCAAGGGATGAAATTTGGTAAAATATACCATTTTTATCGATCTTGGTACGGGTAGCGGAGCAATAGCCGTCACGCTTGCCAGCCGAGTATATGGGACTTGTACCTATTTACCGGTATCGAGCAATGCCAATGTAGAATAGGAAGAATACAAAGAAGATTTACTCTCTCTCTCTCTCTCTCTCCGGTATAATTTTACCTTCAAGGTGAAATGTTGGAGAGAATGGAATGGCCCGGAAGGGGTCGGGGGGAATTATCATATCAGAATAAAGACAAGGGAGGGGAACCAACCGCCAACTGACGCCTGCTGGTGATGGCGGTCGCAAGCTGCGGTTGGGAGCCCAACACGCCTAGGGAGGGAGGGGGCCGGACAGTTGGCGACACATGTCGACCGGCCGAATGAGGAACGGGAGTCCGGGGGGGAGGAAGGGTGCTTCGAAACTCACGCGCTCGGGCTTAAAGCTTAGGACCGGGGAAGGAAGGAGAAGGAGAAGGAGAAGGAGAAGGAGGAGAAGGAGAAGGAGAAGGAGAAGGAGAAGGAGAAGGAGAAGGAGAAGGAGAAGGAGAAGGAGAAGGAGAAGGAGGAGGAGGAGGAGGAGAGCGAGCTAATTGAGCTGGGCTGACGGATGGGCGGGTGCAGGTGCATGGCGGCCGAAGATGCATGGCGCGGAACGGGCGGAAAACCCCATACAGGAGGAAAATACGGTCATTGCGAAAAAAATACGATTAAAAAACTGGTGCATGGCTGGGCTGGGCGGCGCGTTTTGACGACGAATTGAAAGAAACATGTTGGATGGGCTGTTCATTTTGTGTCCCTTTAAGCGCCGTCTTGGGGTTTTAGGATTTGGGGCCTAAGCCCCCTAAGATGGCAGACCAGGTGGAGGACACGGCAGAGGTCAGCAGCAGAAACAGGCCTTCACTAAGCTCGCGCCATCAACATCCGTGGACTGTGCTCCTTGCCGTACCATCCCGTACTTCTCCATTTTCATCCCCCTCCCTGCTTCCCCTCCCCCTAAGCCCCTTGGCCCCCTAACCCAGCACACCTTGACGTGCACGCCACGCCGTCCAGTCGCATGGGTGTGCCCACAGAGGGCGAGTAGGAGGCCCATACCTGCATCACAAGCGTAACAGGACCCGCCAGTGGGGCGCACAGCATTGCTGCGTTGCGAGTACCAACTAGTACTTAGGCAGCGGAGCAGCACCAGCAGCGGCGAGAGAGCCCTGTTTGGAAGTCGTCGTTTTGTCTTTCAAGACACACGGACCAACGAAACTCAACCGGAAACTGCCGTACCCAACTGCCGCGTCTAACGGTCCAATTAAAATCGTTTTTCAATAAGGCTACCACCAGAGCGCCCACACCTGCCGCCAAAAGGTCACACGCCCTAAACTGTGCTGATAAGTGGCGCTAGGCGCAGCCACAGATGAGGTTGCCTCCGCCACCGGCGGCGACGGCGGCTGTGCCGCTGCACCACCACCGCCACCGCTACCGCCACCAGCAAGGGAGTCGCCTCCATCGAGGCAATGCCGCCGCCGCCTCCGCCGCCAACCAAGCAGCCAGACCCAACGGCCGCGGTCCGCCGCGGCGCAAGGGCCACTACTGCCGCTGTTGCTACTGCCGCTGTTGCTACTGCCGCTGTTGCTACTGCCGCTGTTGCTACTGCCGCTGCTGCTACTGCCGCTGCTGCTACTGTCTCTGCTGCTACTGCCGCTGCTGCTACTGCTGCTGGTGGCAGCGCTACACCCAGGCCTGTCGTACGTCGTCATGGCAGTGGATGCGCTGAGGACGGGTGACCCTCCACGTGACAAGCGGGGACCGCAGGGGCAGCTGCAGCAGCAGCAGGAGGCGCCGCCATCACCCCCCGAGCGGCAGCCGCGACAGCCCCAACGGCGGCCGCGACCAAGGTGGAAGGTCACACGGGCCTTGTGCAATTCCTCCGGTGAACCCCCCCGAACAGCGGCCACTCGCTGTAGCTTCCAGCCGGAAGCGGCGGACGGGTGGCACGGCGGAAATGCTACAGCCATAGCCCCCGGGATCATCTGTGCAGCGGTGATGGCTGTAGCAGCCACCGGAATGCCGGCGGCGGGCGCCGCGCTGCTGCTGCCACAGCCATCTGCAGATGCTGTTGTTGCTTCCGCTGCCGTTGCCATCGGCGCCGCCGCCGCCGCCGGGAAAGTAGCTGCTGCTGCCGCCATGACGGCGTCGCCGCGCGGTATGACATCTCCGTACAGTTGGTCAACGTCGCCTGAGCAGTACGACACGCGCCGCCCTGCACGCCTGTGACATAGGACGGCACGGGCCACACTTGCATGAAAGGAGCACGTTTGCCGTACACCGTACAATTGAGCCGTACAGTCCTGCCGTACGCACCTGGCAATCTCCTTGTGAAATGTCCCTTGGAAGAACTCCTGGTCGATTACTTGAGCTAGGGCCTGGGGCGGATCACGGAAGTGTTAACTTAGGGTTTTCAGGGCAGGGTTTTCAGGGCAGGGTTTTCAGGTCCCGAAAGACAAAACACACAATACACGACACAGTCCAACACACGGCGGATACAAAGGCGAGACCAAGAGGCCCCTGTGACACCGCACCGTCCCATTTCATCACCATCCCCACAACACAGCGGCTAAGGTAAAATGAAACACACCGCCCTAACAACCTGCAGCCGCTGCGGTGTCATGTCCTCGGGCCGAAAGTCCGCGGCCCAGCTACCCCCCTCCGGCGCCGCCGCCCTCCGCAGTACGGCAGCCCATTTAGCGCGGCGTGAGAGCTGGTGACCCGGCGAGCGGGCGACTGCCTTGGGCAGGCGGCCCCAACAAACCTGTGTCGCAGCACGGGGAGGGGTGGTTGGGCAGTTGGAAAGTAGTTGGTGGTAGCGGTTAGGTCGTTCGCGCCCGGCTGATATGTCGTTGTTCGGTACGTGTAGGAGCAGGAATATTGTGGCAGCTCTGCGTTGCGCGAAAGCTCTTCCCCCGGGGGCGACCGCTGTGGAAGCGGAAGGGTGGCTGCTTCTCCAGTCTTTCTTGTTGAAGGTCTTCTTTCTGTTGATATAAGGTATAAAGGCCTCAGGTGATCCCGATACACGCGTCGTCTGCTACCGTGGCTTCCCTCCCCCCCCCCTCCCCCCCCCTCCCCCTCCTCCTCCCCCTCCTCCTCCTCCCCCTCCTCCTCCTCCTCCCCCTCCTCCTCCTCCTCCATTTCTTTGTCCTTTTCCAAGTCATAGGTTGGTGCCCTTTGGTGCCCAGAGAGAGGGGTCAGCCGACCAGCAGGCCTGCACCCTTCGCAGTAGCGCACCCGCAACCTGCACTGTCGTACGCACCTTCTCCCAGTCCTGCTCGTCCAAGCGAAAGTCGTACTGGGCCTACACGACATAGTATGAATCAGACGCTAAGCGGCCGGAAGCTTAAACGTGTCTTTGGAGGGTTTTTTGTCAGGCAGTCGGGAGCAGCGGCGAATAGGCAGGGGGATTGTTGCGGACGCTTAGAAGTCCCTTTATAAGTCACAAGCTTGATAACAGCTGCGTGTGTGCACATTTGACAACGTACATTGTTTGCATTTAAGGGGGAAAGGACGATGCAAGACGCTAGGGCGTGTTAAATGGATGTCAGGCCCATCCGTCATTCGTACGCTCGTGCACATCCTCGTACGAACGTGCATATTCGTCCAGCCCAACGTAGAAGGCCGCTACCTTTGAGCTCGCGCGCGTGCCGTCTGCCCATGGATGACTACTGGTAAACACCATGGCAGCAAGAGGGACGAGAAGGCTGACCAGGAAAAGGTGGTGCCTGATGCCGGCGGCGATATGGCTACAGCAAATGTCCGCTCCTATGAGATAAATCTTACGTCGAAAAGCATCATATCAGTCCAAGTTGCGATTGTGAATGCTTTCAAACAAAGAAACTTGGTTTGATTCATGTTATTATGACTGGCCAAGGCAGCCGTTAGGCAGGCCTAGGGATTCTACATACAAGCTACTTTCAAACGTTGTGCTTTAACAGAATCGGTACAACGACCACACTTTCCACATAATGTCGTACGTGTGTGTCAGCGGAAAACACAAATGACCTTTCGGGGATAGCTATGGTGCCATCGTGTCCAGATGGCAGGTCGTATTAAGCAGAAGATCAAGCAAAGAGCTTATTACTAAAAGTGCTACCTCAACCTTTTTGTCGTTTCCGCTGTATAGGGCAGGCTAAACGCTTAATATTAGTCTGCATAAAAGGATCAATACACAGGAACAAATAACCTTTTCGAACTCATTAGTGACCTGGTCGCTGCGAACATGCTTTGTCGACGTCCATGCTCTGCGCCTTCTCGGTCAGCTGCTCTCCAACCTCAATATGCGGTACATAGACGAAAACTTGTACTTGCATTTGCTCAACAACTGGCGACAGTACATTCAGCGTCTACGAGTGTCCGTGAGGACGACGGCAAGGGAAGCAAGCCCACCGTTCCGGTCCAGGTTACCCGGCCACCTTTGCCGTGCGAGAAACCCCTGCCTCTGGCTAACGTAATGGTAGGTTACCTTGAACACAAACCGGCATGATTCATTATGCAAGCCAAGCGCACATTCACGACTCGCTGGAGCACGGTCCCAGCATAAATCACCGTTCTAGCACAATCGCAGTTTCCATACTACATATACTCCTCTCAAACCGTTCGCAGGAAGTGCAGCGGCTGTTGTTTCTCTTGGAGGCCCCTGAGTACTGCATGCGGGCATTCCGGGAGCATGGCGTCAACGGCCAGGACCTACTCAACTTACAAGAAAACGACCTTGATGACAGGTACACCGCCAGGGTGCTAGAATAAGACACAGTGCTGACCGCAGCTGGCCGCTTACGGCAACCTCGATAAGCTGCGTTACTGCGTCTTACATCCCGATGGACATCACCCACCCTTCCTACCACCCAAAACCGATCCAATCTACTCATTGTACTCCCGAGCTCGCACTTTGAAACATTCCGCATTTCTCTCTACGTTCCCCACATACCTTGCACTCCCGGCGTTCTGGTGGTGCCGACGCCCTGCGTCGGGTTCGAACCCTGGAGGTGTAGTTTTTTCCCATTTGTTGTTTTTTTTATACCCGGCCCGCAGTCGCTTCAAGTTCCCCCGTCCTGTACAGCGCAAGGTGCTCCGCATTGCTGAGGCATGGAGGAGCTTCCAGGTGATGTCGGGGGGGCCCTCTCTGGGCTGCCTTTCCCTGGACCGATTCCTGGATCACCACGTCGAATGCGGCAGGTGCGTACATCATCATACCATCTCTTATTTTTTTTACACCTCGCAGCTCAGTTTATTTAAAACACACGCACCTGCCCGTGGCTGCCCGCCGGTCAACTCCTCCCCATCCGCACATCAGGAGCCCGGAGGCTCTGGCCCAGCTCCAGTCCGCCTTCCGAGCCTTGGATGTCAACAACAACGGCAGTATCGGATTTGAAGAATACCTCGTGGGGTACTCATTGCTGCTGGAGAGCGCAGGTGTGTATGTATGCATGTATGCATGTATGTATGTATGTATGTATGTATGTATGTATGTATACAAAACCCACATATACATGTATATGTGTATGTATGTTGCCGGGAGCACAACTCATCGGGGAATAATGGGGATGTGTGTGATGTGATGTGAGGGGCTCTTGGGACCCAGGGGGCGGTGATTACGGCGGTGTGGGGTACAGGTTAAGTGAGAGGGGTAGGGGTGGTTGCGTGTACGGCTTGTGCCGTTGCTGCGTGCTTCATTTCCCCCCGGACAGCGCCGCCCTCTCTCTCTCCCTCTCTCCCTCTCTCCCTCTCTCCCTCTCTCCCTCTCTCCCTCTCTCCCTCTCTCCCTCTCTCCCTCTCTCCCTCTCTCCCTCTCTGCTATTCTGTATTAACTCTGTAACCGCTAACCAGCCATGCAGCCATGCTTATCGACTGCCGACCTTCTCGTTTTGGAGAACGGCACCTCGCACCGATGGAAATAAAAGAATAAAAAGAATATAACAATGCAACTTGGGAAAATATTTCTCGCTTTCCCTCCTTTTCGCCCCCTCTTTCCCGCACCCTTCCCGTATGCTTCTGTATATGTGTTAAATTTATTTTTCATGGAATGTGGGTTGAACTGTGCAGCAGCAGGAACTCGCACCATCTCCGTCAGCGGTCCAAATGACCCACGGGTCAGTAATTCTGCTGACGACAGCGCTCTCGCGGCCGCAGCCACAGATGCGAAAGGACTTCCTAGCACGCCGCTCGTCCTTCACTCACTCGCCAGCAGCGGTGGCGGCGCCACCGACGGCACCAGCATGTCGGCAGTGACAGCGGTGGCGGCGGCTCCGGATGCTGCTGCTGCTGCTGCAACGCTGCAATCGGCCCCGGCGCCTGTTGTTGTGGCTGCTACTGCTGCTACTGCTGCCGCCACCGCAGCGGCGGCGGCGGCTGCAGCAGCGGCGGCGGCTTGCACTGTGGCGGGCGGCAGCCTCCTCCGAACCTTTGCAGGATGGCTGCGGTTGTAGAAACGACTTTGGGTGCGCGAATGTGTGGACGTCTGTATGTCTGTATGTCTCTGATGAACAGGGGTGGATGGATTTTGCACGCGTGTTAGCGTCCTGCAGTCGCGGCCCCACCACCACCCCCTGGGTCGCCACACCTGCTCGCCGCTGCCCTGCAGCCACATATCACCACCACCGCCACCACCGCCACCACCGACCCGTGACAAACATACAGACTGACGCGAGGCGGGCACACGCAGGGCGGATGGAGATTGGCGCCGCCGGCAGCCAAACCGGACTTCTCCCTGGGTTAACACTGTGCGCGGATAGAGGGCTGGACAGACGAACATACAGACGAACAATGCGGTCATTGGAGTCGGGACGCGGACGTTGAGGGCATCAATCATGGTGGGCCCCAACGCTGTGGGGCCTCATTCAGCCGCCAGGGTTCGGACGAGCACTCGTCGTACGGAGCCGAGCAAGCACAAAATCCGATCCGTACGAAAACCCTAAAACTCACAATACGCATAAAGCAATTTTACATAAAGCAATTCTTGCAGCAGAGTCAGAACTGCAGACCTAGCGCCTGCAGCACACATACCCCGGGGCCTTATTAGTAACGGACTCGTCAAGCCGTACCAGCTTCACTAGCTCTCTGGGCCTCAGCATGTTGTCGCAGCATGCCATGACGTGCACGACGTACATTACGGGTCATTATACGTATGTACGGCGGTCCGGGATGTACGGGACACGGAAGCAACGCAGAGCAAGAGGGAATCATCACAGTTGGCAGTTCTTCGCTGTGTTGTGGCGATGGTGGTGGTTGGTCAGTTGTGGTGGAAGGAAGCCGTGACCACGGCATGTTGGTTAAACAGATGCATGTGTTACGGTGGTGGTTGTAGTGGTTGTGGTGGTTGTGCTCCTGAGGGGTTGAAGAACAGTACCCACCATCTTTCACTCCCATGCAGGTTACCAGAGAAGCGGTTTTAGGTGGGTTTTAGGTGTCCAGGGTTTGCGGGTTTTAGAGGGTTTTGAGCTTTTTACAGGTTCTCAGCTTATGGGACCTCGCCGGGATGTCTCACTGATATTTTTGGAAGCGATGCTGTTGATGGAGTACGGAAAAGTACGGCAGGAAAGACAAGTGAATGACGAGCAGCCGAATGAGCGTGAGTGGCAATGCACGAGGGATGCATGTATGGCGGGTTGTCTGCGTATGCGTGTGTGTATGTATGTATGTATGTATGTATGTATGTATGTGTGCTTGCGTGTGTGCGTCTCACGCGAATGGGTGTATGTGTGTGTATGTGCGTGTGGGGGTTGGTACGGGTGTGCGTGCATCAAAAAGGTGTGGCTCGGCAAGTGAGAGCTGGAATGCGGTTTCGGATCGGAGCGTCTTTTTCGGTGAGGATGCATTACGCCTGTACTGCCATAAATTGCGCTTGCGAAAGCTGTTGGAGCGACGGTTGGGAGTTAATGCTATTGAGGTGAAATGGCAATTAAGTGTTGTGTGTTGATGCTAATTTGATTGCTGAGGAGTTGCGAATGTTGGAATGATGGTAGGTATGAGCAAGAATGAAAATGATGGTGGTGTCTGGGTTGATGGCGGGATTCCCTGAACACATGTTTGCACGGGTTGCAACGGCGGTGTTCACGTTGTGAAGCCCATTTAATGGTCACCGTAACTGCTGCTGCTGCTACTGCTGCCACCGCCGCTACTGCTGCTGCCGCTATCGAATTGCCTGGCGCGTACTGGACGGTGCTGGATATTCGTTGAGGCGTGAAACGGCGGAGCTGTCTGACCAGGGGAGGGGGTTAAGGGGGACGGGGGAGAGGGGTTCAGCGAACGCATACACACACACGAACAGATGACTGGGATGGAGGAGGAGGAATTGCCACGGGGACAGTGGTGGCAAGGTACGTACGATGGTGTACGACGATGCAAGGCGTCAACCGTCGGGGGTAGAGTGGGGGGACGGCATGTGTGTGCGTGTGTTTTAATGATCTAAGCCGTGTTGTGTGTGGCAGGCAGTGGGGAGGCTGTGGGGAGTCGATGCTTTTTGGTCCCACGGCCAAGGCTCGGATACAATGTCGCACTGCGGTGCCCCTTCTGTCGGGGCCTAGCTAGGGGCCAACAACATCAACATCATAGCCGTCATATACGCTAGGGTTTTGTTCTTAGCGCTTGTGGGGGGAAGCAAAAGACGGGCGCGGTTTTGGGTTGACGTCTGTTCAAAACAACGATGTCCCTTTTGAAATAAGGTCCACATTAATTGTTTCTGCGGCCCGGAGATCGTTAGGAGGCTCACAAACAAATCCCAGCGCTGTTTCGTTGTTTTGGCTGCTGCTGCTGCTGCTCATCAGTGGCGGTCTCTCAGTGCGAGAGGTTGTCGAATGTGTGTGTGTGTTTTAGTAAACTAAGGTGGTGTGCGTGTATGTGTATGTATGTATGTATTTAGAGGAAGGGTGTGCGATTCCAGTAACGGAGCGGGAAGTCTGAATATGTAATGTAGTAGCTGGATGTGGCGCTGATAAGGCCTCTTTATATGTAATGCGCGTGAAGCATCGCGGGCTTTTGTATGGGCCGTACTGTACGACAGCTGCTGAAGTGTCGCTTTGTGCTGCCGCTGTGCTCCAGCCGCGATGTGCGGGAAGGTTTACCTATCTACTGCCTAATCGCCACCTGTCTGTCTGTCTGTCTGCTTGCTATTCTGTACGGATCTGCCTATCATGGACCCATGGGTCTCACACCTGAGATCGGAGTACCACTTTGAGTGTGGAGACGGGGAGAAGAAGCCGGGGGTGCCCGCAGGGGACCTTTGGATTGTGTTTTTTGTGTGTTTGAAATGAAAAAGCTTCGAGCTGCACGAAGGGGTGTCGGCCGTTGAGGAGAATGGCGCAAGAGTAACATTTAACTTTTTTGGGGGGGGCCCAGGGACGGGGGGTCGTTGTTCGGCAGTGCCCCAAGCATACGGGGGTTAAATCTTTCACATCGCCCATTTATTAACGAACTTGCATAATGCGGGTGGGCCGTTGGGTCGGTTGGGTCGGTTTTACTAGTACGGCAAGATTTTGAGCTGCCTACCATGGTGACCATCATCTGACCGTCCCAGGCAGTTGGGAAGGACGTCTAGGGGGCGCCGAATCCGCAAATCTATTTGCCCCTGTCCTAACCACCAAATTAAATCAGTTATATTCAAACGTCACCACTGTCATCACTGTTATCGTTAATCCCAATATAATTTTTATAACATAGGCGCACTGCTTGCCGTATGTTTGCGTACTCTGTGATGATGTACCGTGCCTCCCGCTGCTAATGCTGCTTTTGCAACAGAGTGTGGTGTTTTTTATATTCCGGTTCGGAGTTTGTTCCTTTGCAGCTGCAGCAGTAGCAGCAGCGGCGGCGGCAGGGGCTCGGAGTGCAGCTAAAACACCGGAGGTGGGGGGTGCTGCGACCGTGACCGCAGCGTGCGGCTGTGCGGAAGGGCAGGTGGTGGTGCTCGGAGGTGTAGACTCAGGCCGACTCCGGTGCACCGTGCCGTAGTGATGTGCGGCTTGTGTTGCGGTTGGCGGGTAGATTGCTTTGGTTTGGTGTTGTTATGTACGTATGTATGTAGGCGTGTATGTATGTATGTACGTATCTCCCGTCCCTTTGTTTACACACAGACATTGCTCTCCGCGGGTGCAGAGGGAGGAGGAAGGAGGGGGTAGGGCAATCAGGTCGGGATGTTTTTACGTGGCCTGTTGCATTATGCTCCGAAACCTGGTGGTGGTGGTGGCTTCACAGTGCGTGGGCGCGTCCGGCTATGCCGCGCGCGGACGGATTTAGTTCGTACACTGTCAGTTTTTGCGCGGTGGGACGCTGCTAGCTTTTAACCGTGCCAGAGGGCCATGGCTGGTGAGATGCTCTTTATCGTACTGTAAGGCTGTCGTACAACCTGCCGGACGTCATCGGTGCTGTATAGAAATTGACTTTCTTGTGTGTATATATATATATGTGCGCATTATCATTATTAAGCAGTGTTAGAAGAAGGATGTCTGCGTCATCGCCACCTGGTGCGAGTGCGTTTCGCTTTCATGACAGACTCAGTGGTTGCTTGTCGGCTGTGTGGAGGAACGAACATCGCCAACCCCGTGGCTCGCAGGCACCAAGCATCTTCATGTTCATATATAAACGGGCGTGGAAGAAGGTTTAGCACAAATACAAACATACACATGCACGCCTCATATCGCTATATGAACATAGCCGTATACTAGAGCAATAGGGTTGATGTTGTCGCGTGCGCGTCCTGCTCAGTTTTCGTCTCGCGCTGCTGAATGTATAGATGGTTGGATAAGTGGATTATCTTTCTACGGCTCACGGAGATTTCTGGCGCATCAGGCGAACAGTCTCCTGGCCAACTTTAGGGCGCCTAATGAGGTAATTCATCGCATAAGAAACGCCGCACCAAGCATTTAACAATCGGCTGCGAAACACATTTTAAGTCTGCGCATAAGGTGCACACGGCGCGTCGTGGATGTCGTACATGTGGAGGGTAGAACATTGTGTTTATAGGCTGAAGCTTAAACTCCAAACGAGTGGATATGCGCCATTGCGCCCAATTACTAATATGTTGTCATCGCCCAGTGTTGTTTTGAACTTTGTTTACTTCATTGAAATGACGGGAATGCGTTTTCGCAGATGTAAAGAACTCTGTATATGTGTGTGTGTTTTGGGGGGGGGGGGAAAGATGGCAGTTTATAAGACCCAACCATCGAAAAGCTATGTACCACGGGTCCACAGGGCGTCGTTTCTGACGTCGTGCTAAGCAAACATTTTTGGGCGGGGCCCCAGCGCGAAGCGCCCAGGGGGGCCCCGACCTGTAGGATTGCCCATGTCCGTGTGTGTGTGTGTGTGTGTGTGTGTGCGTGTGTGTGTGTGTGTGTGTGTGTGTGTGTGTGTGTGTGTGTGTGTGTGTGTAACGGACCAAACATAATATCTCGCCTGGCTGAAACGCGTTATAGGTACTATACAGCATTCTCTATTGCAAGGTATCTCGCATGTAGCCAACAAAAATCGTATGAGCGCAAACAAGTTTGGCTGCCTCAATTGACCGAGGCCAAAGTCACATCAACGCCTCTCGCGCTAAAATTCATCCCGAAAGCTGCCGCGTATCTCACAATGGAATTCTGAGATGACGGCGTATGATAACTCGAACACCCAGCTTGTGTTACCATTTGCCGGCATGGGCAATCCGACTTGCCACCAGCAGGCCAACATAATTTGCTTTCATTTCTCTATGAAATACACAAGCTGCTTGTTTGTACATTTACTTTGGCCAATGCACGGGGCCTCCTGAGACTTGCGGTGTGCCCCGATGAAGCCCGCGGCTGTGGGGCGGATTGCTGAGGCCGCTGGCGCTTCGGGGATAAACATCACAGACAGCACCGAAATTCACCCAGCTTTCGTTACCATTTGCCCGCACGGGCATTCCGACTTGCGGTCTGCCGCACTGTCCATGCGGCATGCACCCGGAATGCCGGGTGCGGCATGCACCCGGAATGCCGGGTCCATTCCGGGTGCATGCCCGGAATGGATGCGATTCGCGTGGAGCCCGCAGGCGGTGCTGACGATTCCGCCGGTGCAAGCTTAGCTCTCACACCATCAGCACTGCTGCAACAAAGCACATCTCCCACCGCGTTGACACTACCCATCAATTGTCACACTTGCCACCCTTGCTACCGGCCTGTACGGATGCAGAGGGGCCCCGCCCTTTTTCCGGCTTCCTTGAAGCCGACACCCAACTTGTCACCACTGCCACTATCCACGCAAAGACTGCGATCCAGTACTGACTGACTTCGTGCGGGCTGCCGATGCGCTGCGGTGCTGCACAACCCCTTCTGCTTTCGTTCCCCCCTTAACTTGTACAACCAACAATACAGTCAAGTCCCCGCTTAATTTGTACAAACAACATACAACCCTTTGGCCCTCGGCTTCTTTAAATAAGTTTGGTAGCCCGCTGTAACAGTCGCAACATCATACAGCACATACATAGCAAAGCAGAATGCTGCAGTAATTTATTAAATTAAACGAAACCGAAACGAAAAAAAACGGAATGAGCCATCTTTCCTCTTCGCACCTGCTTTCCGCTTCACGAACACTAACGCCGGTGCCATCCGCCGCAATAACACCAGCCACCGCCGTGCACGGTCACATCACGCACGGTCACTTCCCCCTTTCTGCACTGTTGCCATTTCTGCCCACCTTCTTGCTCTCGGGCCGCATGCGCGCAATGTTTGAAGTAGAAGGAAACCTACATCGCTACCTCCCTATTACCCGCTGCTAATTCGAACTAATTTGAACTAAGCGCCGATTCCTCCGGGAGGCGCCGCTGCCTCACCACCTTCAGCTTTCCATCCCCAGCGGCCCCTCAACAGCTGTCCAATCCTTCTGCCAGTAGCAACCGCAAGCAGCAGGTGTTTCCTAGACATACAAGACGCTCGCACGGGCTGCATATCAAATGGGGGGCCGTTGTCTACCTACCTGACTACCTACCTGCCATCCTGCGACGGCACACAAGCACACATAAACATCAACGCCATCACGTGCATACTGCTGCGCGTCTCCTTTTCCGCTGTCTAATAAATCGAGACGAAGATAATCCCGGAACTGGTTTGGTTTGGTCGTAGGCGGTCTTAAAGCTCACTCACGCGAGGCCGTTCCATTCATTGTGAAACTGCTGCAGGTATTGCTCCATAAACTCGTGGCGTTTCGCGGCGATTTGGGCCCCCGCAGACGTCTTCATCAAGGCCTGCGTGTGTATGCGTGTATGTATGTGTGTGTCTTTGTGTTTTGACGGAGGCAATGAGTGGGGATGGACCGTTGAGAGACGGGCGGTGGTACGAGCCGGCTTTCTTTGTTGGGAGTGGCATAGAGATGTCATTCCAACCCCAAACGCAAATGGAATAGCTGCTTTTGGGAATCTAATCACGTTCAGTTTATTCCATACGCGAATGTTTTCCCAATGGCCAAATAGTCGCACTTCGTCCGCAAACTCGCCGGAAAGAGTTCGATACTCCTCGGTATCTGGTACAACCGGCCCACACGCAGATACCCCGCCACGTGCAATTATACAAACGCAACCGCATAAAAAAACACGGTAATCAGCGACACGCACTTTGAGCTTGAGCAGCTTCTCATAGAAGTGGTTAATGGTGGTTGACTGTGCGCCGCCCGCCATGTACTGCTCCTTACTAAGCCCTTCCCGTGGGGGAACCTCCGGGTCGTACAGCACTCGGTGCTTGGCGCCGCCGAACGTGAAGCAGCGCGCGATGCCGATGGCTCCAATGGCGTCGAGTCTGTGTGTTCAACATTTTTTACGTTTACGTCGTTTGGTAAAAAAATGTTACGAATGCAAACGCGTTGCGGGTGCAGGGACCAAAACACGTATTATGTGTTTATGTGCGTGTTGGGGGGTTGTAGGGGGCATGAGCGTGTCTCGGCGCAAACATGCGATGTTCAAGGGGTTTCCTGAGTTCCCCCTTCCGGAGCTCACACCTGTCAGCATCCTGTACGATGGCGGCCTCCAAGGAGAGCGCGGGCACTGGCTCCGCTCCGGAACCATTGGATCCCGCTAGCTCCTCCTTGAATCCCACCTTGGAGATGATGTGGGTCACGCGGCTAATGGTTTCAGAGTCAAGGCCTTGGCCAGCTAGGAAAGTCTAGACGGTGTGAGAGCGGGGTTGGGGAAGGCAATAAACAGAGGTAAGCAAGTAAGGAGTCCCTGGGGATACGAGGAGAGGGAATGGAGGGGAAATGGCGGCATGGCTGCGGAGCAATGAGCAAAGCGAAGCTGGCCGACGAAACTGTATGACAACAACTTTGACTTTCGTTCAACAAAAGGACCAGAGGCGATAGCTGTATGACTGGTCTTCACCCGGCGCGGTCAGGAGCTCCCGCACCGTGACAGCCTCGGTGGTGGCATCGTGATTTCCGCTGTACTTCCAGTCGCGGACATCGTGAAGAAGTGCGGCTAGGTCTACTAACGCCATGGCTCCGGCGTTCAAGCCCTCCAGCTGAGCTAAGTTCCGCGCATTTGCGCGGACGCGCTGTATGTGTGCAAAGTCATGCGAGGCGTCCACTGCGGCAAGTTCGCATCGGACAAAGTCTTCAGCTGCTGCAACGACGTCCGGCGGGAATGAAGCTTGCGCATTTACAGTCATCTTTTCGTGAGGCCTGATGAATGCACCTGTTGAGCCGAGACACAGTAATGCTAGCAGCGCTTGGGATGGAAAGCAATGACAATTCCCTGTAATTTTCTATGCAAGCGAAGTCTTGAACCATTACAGCGGCATGCCAATCAAGTGATACTCTGGATCCAAATTTAATTCGGCGCTACGGCATCCTCCGATAGAGCCAAATTCAACAATGAAGGATACATCAGTATCCCCCTGCAAGTAGCACATCCTCCGTAGGATAAATCATTGTTCGCCCGTCTCGTCTTGTCAGACACGGCGGCACTCCGTGATGAAGTCGGTGGACTCCTCCTCTGTAGGTCCGCGGGCGGTGACAGGCTCGAGAAGAGCAAGCATAGCATGACCGTATGAAGGATAGAGCGGTAGTCGGTGCAAATTCCATGTTGTTTGGTTGCACCATGGTGACATGTTTGTGTGCCAGGCGGTGCTGGTGGGTGTTCTGCATCAAGGCAATGGCAAGTGTAGCACTCACCATTCACTTTACACCTCCATATTCGCCCACCTTGCGTTTGCGCTCCTAGGGTTTTCCCTTATAACCCTTGTAACCCTTTCCTTTTGTCCCGGAAACGAGCTGGATGTGAAGGCCATCATGTTTGCAGTTCGCACCACTGTAGTACTGGATGACCCAGGCCCCATTAGTGCGTTTATCGCCCAGCACGATGCGAAGCCCCAGCTCTTGTGGGCTTTGGGCTTCAGATGATTTTTTTCGCATCAACCCAGATGATGCGGTTGAGTTTACCGTTGTTGGTCGTTGGGCGTCTTGGGAATGGGGGTGGGGACTCGTTGAGATCGTTCACCACACCCTGCTGGGGCTTACTGTACTGCCGTATCCAATCAGCGGCCTTTATCCGCTCCGCCTTGACTTTGTTGTAAGCGGAAGTTTGTATTCAACAGAGAAATGCTTCCCTAGGTGGGGTTGCGCCTCAATCAGGCGGCGTCACATAGTCCGACAGGAAACATTATAAGTCTCCACGGTGATGGTGGTGAACCCCTCGTGCCTCCCATCTCCTCCTGTGTCCATGGCTGTACTTGTACAACCAAATCAGCTGCAGTTTCCGCCACGTGGCCTGGTAGCTTTCGGTTAAAATCTCTAGGTCGTTAAGCCCAAATCCGAACGACTTCTGTCTTTTAGTGACTCTCCGGAACTTATCAGCGGTTGGGATCTCCGTCGCTTCGACGGTCGGAGAAGTTGTCCGTTACATGCACGCAGCTGTTAATTCTGCAACATACTACTAAGAAATAACGCAATTGGTTGTCGCTCAGTGAACTTAAGTGAACTTGGTGGAACTTAAGGGGGGAAATTTGAAATTCGGAAAAGCAGGAAAAATCGACGATGGCAACGGGGACAAAAATGGGATGGATGTCCAGGAACGGGCGAAGAACGCCCTTGATATGTTCAATGGTGTTGAAGCTAACAGAGGTAATGTTAAACGAGAAGAAACATTAACAAAGGAGGAGGTTTAAAATTTGGAAGGGATAAGCGCAGAATATATCGTTGCAGTTCGTTGACTTGCCCACCTAAAAGGTGGACAACCAGTTTTCCTTGCGCGATTGAAGCAATTCATGAGCCTTCGGGTTCGTCTTAACCATACGAGCTCGCTGAAGGTCGTAAGAACCATCCACCCATCCATCCAACGTCAAGCCATGAAGCTAGCCATATTATGTAGGCAATAACGCCCATGACCACCCGTGGATCTTGGCATGTGATTACTACGCAGCAAAGATGAGAGACGAATCCCTTTTGGTTGTAACTGCGCGAGCAGCAGAAAGCTTCCATCATACATGTGCATGTGTGCCTGCATGCGTGTGTGCCTGCATGTCTCCATGTGTATGTATTCGAAAAGATTTATACTACTAAGCAGTATTTCAGCAAAATTAACTCGACGTTCAGTAGACAAGAATAAACAACGGCGGGTCCGTGATCACCGACGCAGATCGACGTGACTGAACATGCGACGAACCGCAGTTTCAACCTTAGTTTCGGCCCCTATAGGGTGTAGCTACACAAAGAGGCGAAACCGCGGTAAAATAAAACGCACCCCCGCGCGGACTCCCGAAGACGGTGCGAAGCCTCCCTGGAGTCCGCCAACGGAATCGCCCAGCGCGACGCTTCTCGCTGCAGCAGTAATCTCAATCAATAGCTTTACATTCGCTGATCAGGATCCGCTGTCTACGGGTCTACGATAGCGCCTTGCCGTCCCGTATTGCGTCCCGATGCTAGCAGGCTTTCCCGACCTGCGACCTGAGTTCAGCTAAAAATATATATTCAAACAATCCGCCTGCGATATATGGAGCTATTAAAATTGCAAAGAATGATCAAGCAGAACCGCCATGACAAAGCGCCGGAGCGGGCCACTGTTTCTTGCGCTCTATGGCGCTGTTCCTGATCAGCGAATGTAAAGCTATTGATTGAGATTACTGTTGCAGCGAGAAGCGTCGCTGGGCGATTCCGTTGGCGGACTCCAGGGAGGCTTCGCACCGTCTTCGGGAGTCCGCGCGGGGGTGCAAATAATAAAGAGCTCGATGATAATGTATTGTCGACACACGAGCGCACGTGACGTAACGGAACCGGAACGGCTTTAAATGGAACGTCCGTAATAATAAAGTCTTCCATGCTGCTGGTCTATATATAGACAGGATCATCAAAGTATAATACATAGGACCGAGAAATGGATCGTATGTAAATTCATAGTATAGGATGGCCTATATGATAGATCGTGTCATAAATAAAATGCATTTCATTATAGACAGGCCTGAAACTAGGTGGTCTACTTATAGACACTCCTCCATTTTACAGTGAACATGGTGTTCGCTTGCTGCCCGCAACAAATAAGTGAACATTGCCGGGTTTTAAATTTGGAGGGCTTAGCCAGATTGGAAACAACTTGGCGAGCTGCTGGCGGCCTACTGCTGCCTGCGTCATCATCATCATCGTCATCACGCATGGCGATATCCGTCCGTCTACCTGCTGTCTACCTGCTACCCGCCTGCTGCTTCCAGTGGGCAAAAGATATCTACATGGCAATTGCAAGGGGGTGGGCAATCATCAGGAATCATGCTTTTTTGTAAACGTCAGGGCCACTGCTGATCCATATCATGATCGCATATCGGTTGCGATGTAAGGGATTTCGGTGTACGTATGGTTGCCGGCCCACTTCCCCGCACTCTGCCCCGTCCCGTGGTCCAAACGGATGGAAAAGTTTAGTGTGCGAAATATGCAGCAAAGGGCAGGAGCGTGCCACTCCGCAATATAGCAAGAAAGGAAGCCTGGTCATGCATGTTGCTGAAGGGTACAAAGTGGAGCGCAGGAGTCGTGCACAGAGTCAGGGCGCAAGTTTATCAAGCTCTCAACTGCCACTTGGGTTCGTCCACATCCTCAGCAAATGTTCGCAACCTTGCGTGCGGCTTTACCAAAAGCAAGCATGACTCCACACAACCGCCGAGTGCAATCAACTAGAAAACTAGAACCAGTGTATTTTTTTCCGTAATATATTACGGTTCCGTAATAAAATGGCATATTTGCGTTCTGCGCTCCGTCATAGACCATGGTAAAGGCCTGGTACGGTCGTTACGGAGCCGGGGCGGGCCGAAGGCCCCCAGAGACGTTCTATTTTAGTATAAATAAGTTATAAATGAGCGATGGGGCCCAAGAAATTAACTACTATAGCTGGTCAGGGTAGCGTCAAAGCATTCCTGACCACCGGCAGGCCAAAACCCAGTAGCGGCGATGCTGGTAACACTTCAAACAATATAGCGAGTACAAGAGAGACATTAGAACCAGATGACAGGGCGCCTCCCGCACGGCGGTTCTCAGCAATGTCTTTCGTCAAGAATAAGCACCGCAACCAGCTTGATAAGCATCTGGGCCTGTGCTTGCGTATGTTTGCCCAGGACTTCTACACCCGCTCGTCCTTCCCGTATGACAAGGCGGTGGAGAAGTGGCTGCAGAGGGCTGAGAAGCGTGGCCGTTACATGCACAACTGACGAGTTTGCTATGCCCTGGGGCATTGTACTGTGTGTGTGTGGTTGTTACAGTGGGCTCCAGACTCCCGAAGAGTAGAGCCATCGGGCCAGCTGGCCGTGCACTGCAGTAGAGACTAATATACCAATAGAGACCATCACCTCAGATAATTAACCGCTCATCGGTAACCGCTCCCGTGAGCACAGCAATTTGCCAGATATAATTCTCAAGAAGGGGTGATGTGTGCCAACATAATCCCAACCTTTCCGTGGAATTCCCAAAGCTGCGAAACCCTGAATGCGGCCCCAAAAGTCAACAATAACTCGACAAATGGCTTCTTCCGTAAGGGAAGGGCCAGGTAACAGTGCCGGGTTGGTTTTCATGTTTGCAGCCATATAACGTCTCCCATGCTCCATGGCTGACACCGCAGCAAGAGCCACAACATCCCAAACACATTGTTGCACTGATTGTGGGGCTTGGACAAGCCAAAGTTGCTCCCTTGAGACTGGCAATCCTATTGAAAGAGTAAGTTGATCTGCTACTGCCTGTGCCACCGGACAGGCCCAGAAATGATGACAGCGAGGGGATACACCTCCCACTGAACCTACTGGATAACCTCCACAACCACATACTGTTGGCCGCGACATCCTAAGATGGGAATTTCCTAACATAGGCACCCCATCAACCGCGAGACGCCACCAAACCTCTTTTTGTTCATTTTCCCACCGTAAATGAAACCATAAACGATGGAATGTCCGTTGCAAAAGAAGAATAGCTTCATCCAATATCTCAGAAGAGCCCGTCGCCTCTTTGATGAAGAGGGTATGGGCCACACGGCGAGCCATCGAAAAAGGTGAAAGTTGCATATTAGTCGCTATTTTAACGGATAAATGTTGGAATCTGATTGGAGGCCCTACACCCCATCTCCAACCAAGCCTCGACATTAGGGTTTGGGTAACCGACTCAATGGAGGGCACCATCGCTTCCCTAGATTCTACACTCAGCGGCAACAAAAGACTAGCCGCCTGTCTCCAATTCACCGGGATATCAGCTAAAAGAGCGCCAATAGCATCCATACATTCCTGCCATTTACGATAGGTGCACAGGGATTTAGCTAGTGGGGTTTGCGGTTGGAGGTATTGATCCACTATTTGATGCCAAGCCTTGCGTATTGCTAGGCCTGCCTGGTCCGTTGCATTCATAACTCCATCCAAGGCCTCGCGCGCGCGAAGAACATCCCCCAACGTATGCAATGCTTTACAGCCCAGGAGGGCTTGGTGTCGAAATTCTAGTCCCGGGGGGATGTTATCTAACGGGACATTCAACCTTTTTTCTGGAAGAACAGGGTTTCCCCACAATGGCAAATTCCAACACCACGCATTAGGAACTAGCGGGTGATCATCAACATCTTCCACTGGGGGAAGGTATGCCAACGCTGTCACAATGCGCTGAACATCTGGCGGTAAAACGATTAATCCAAACCAAGGCACTCCCACCTGGGACGTAAAAATACACATAGGATTGTACTTGGGGTAAAGGCTATGCAGGAAAGAGTGCATGACCAACACCCAAGGCGGACGCACTACGATTGTACTGGCTGTGGTGTCGTGGTGAAAACGTATGACATAATCCTGAACGCATGTGGCAACGGACGGAAACAGCTGAGACTCAAATGAAATATTTATTAAATATGTGCTGGTGTATCAGGTACCCTGTGTGGGCAGGGGGGGTCTGGGGGGGCTTGCCCCCCAGAAAAAAAATTCTGGCAGTAATAAACGTATTGGACTGATGGCATATTTATTACGGAACTCGTAACAGATTCAGGATCGGCCTCCACGAAAAAAAAAACACTGACTAGAACCGTCACCAAGAAACGAATAGTACACATCCACAGTTTGGACCAGACGCCACCACAAGAAATCTGTGAAAACAAAATTCGTGTGATGCATTAAGCAGCGAGCAACGTACAATGCGAATATCTAGGCATCATGAGCGAACAAGGCAATAACGCAAAAGCTCAGTTTATGCATGCACATGACATGACATGAGAATGCAGTTAGCGTGCGAGCGAACGATTGGGCCCAACCAAAGGCCCAACGGAAAGACCGCCTAAGCTCTCTCTCCCGCGGTCCGCTAGCTACGCTCTCCTTCCCCGGGGTATGTGAGGCGCCGCACGCGCGCACGCTCTCACGAGTCAAGGCTCCGTCACGCGAGTACTACTGCGCACTGAACCTGAAGCACGCAACAAGACTCTCTCCGTTCGCGGCCTGGTCCGGCTCTTGGGGTGAGGGTTCACTAAGACAGAGGAAAACCGGAAACCCTGCACAGACCCTACCCTCCCTACTACTAAGGCACGCGGTCCTATTAGAAAGCTCGGCCTCTCACCCGATTCTCCGTTGCAGGGGAGCGTATGCGTATCTTACGCACGCATTCCCGGGTAATATAATGCAAGGCCAACCCACCGATCAGTTCACCTGTCGGTTGCAGCCAGCAGGCAGGACAGCAAAGTAAGATGAATAGTGGGGTGTAAACCAACTAGCTAGCTAGCTAGCTGGCTAGCTCCTGACAAGAGAAAAAGGTAACAGGTAAGATTGTCTGGGCTGCATTAGTACAGCTTATAGTGAGTGATCCTGCCCTACCTCCGCCAGTGCACCCGGGGACCCTAGTGGCCTATCAGTGAGTTCGCCCTATAATGCGTGCAGCTGCAGGCAGGTGCTGCTGATAGATAACGCGGGAGTTTCTCATTGGGGTTTTGTTATTATCTGTTGTATCCACGGGATCTGCACCCGCCGATCGGCACTTTTCAAACATCGCGGCATCAAAAAAGATATATAATTTTCAGCAAAACCTTAAAATAATATAAGCCATTTTGCATCTGTAGCCGTCATATGTACCACACAGATTTGGTTTGGAAACTCCATTAGCACGAACTTACAGGTCTTGGATCCGCAATCTTCCCGACAGTGCCGGAAGAGAGAGATTACGGGTAGCTGCTGAAACGTGGAGCTCAGGTTCATCACTGATGATGAACCGAGATTTGCACGCAGGATTGGTGCTGAATTTTAAATCTTCTCTCTACGAATGATCGGGTGACATGATGAGGAACAATTTCAGAAGGCAGAATCAACCGCCTTGAACTTGCAGTTCATATGGCGTAGTGCAGTGTGGTAATAGTGGATGGTGCTATACCCCAGTGAATAGTTCAATTCCAGATACGACAATCGAATTATGTTCAATTGGCCCGAAGCCTCCCACTCTGTAACAACAACATCAACAAGTACTTCACAAGCGCAGCCACAAGCTGCAATTGCAGCTGTTTTTGCGGCTGAACAGTCTTTGCTTTTAAATTGCGAAGGGTGAGGGCACATAGCTACGCAATATACGAGTAATGTGTCGTAATAATGTACTGCTCATGTATGCTCGTCCAATCCCCACCTACCTCCTGAACACACAATCGGCTCTGGCCCACCGTGAAAAGTAACTCCTTTGGTTATGGTTGTAATTCTGTTAGCCATTGCCATCATGCCCTCGTCCTTGTGCTGAAGGCCTTTGCTCAAGAGGTGTTTGCACACGGCCCGCCTGCTCGTGCGGCTGCACCACTTGTGACTGAATCTGCTTCTGCGAGGACTGTTGCTTTCTCTCTTTCACCTCTTCTTTTTCTTCATGCTGAGCCTGCTGAGCCTGCTGCGGCTTCTGTACCCGCTTCCGTTGTTCGCTGCACGCTGCTGGACGCTGCGCTGACAACGGCCGCGGCCCGGTTGGTTTTGCAGCGGTAGCAGGTGCCTGCTGCTGTCGCTTCCATTGCAATTGGTCCGGCTGTTGATGCTGTTGAGCTGGCGGCGACAGCAGCTGGGACTGCGCTGCCTCCAATAGCTCTGACAGTCCCGGGAATTCCTGCCAGGCCTTGCCCTGCCGGTCGCAAAGCTGCCGCATCTGCTCCTGCAAGTCCTGTACGATGCACACCAGCTGCGCGATGAGCACGACCTGCTCCGAAACCTTCGCCTCAAGTTGCTGTATTCGCTCCTGGGCCGACGGGGCGGGTAGTGTACCACAGCAAGGATTGATTGCGTAGAGGATTTGCAAGAAGCTAAATGCGCGTATCGTACATACGTATATCGACATACATAATGAGAAACAAGCACGTAAGATATGCGTACTTGCGCAGAGTGAGGCGCATGCATGTGTGGCCAGTGGTGTGGCCGGCATTTTCCATTCGCACAAGGGCGCGTCCAGCCGCCCCCTAGTGACAGAGGGACGCGGACAGGAAATGCCTGACGGCATGTGAACAAAAACATATTATTTTCCGGAGTGTAGCGCAAACATGTATATTAACACGTGCATGTCCGGTACGGCGGCACCTGCGCACCTTTTGCCTGTTGCGGTGCATCTGTTGTGCCACCCTGTTGCGTGCCCGGCTGTCCTCCTGCGCGGACATAACAACACCATATATATACATGCATGACACCAGCAGCAGGGGTACAACGCAACCCTATTTCCTATGCCTTCTCTATTGTCAGGGGTCTCAATCGTTCAAGGACCATCATCCCAGCAAAATGCACCCTACTTGCCCAAAGGCCACAGCGCATACCGAGCCAGTAACGGGCGATACCCTTACTGACGGCGAAATGCTCGGCTCTTCAATACCCATCCGAGCACCACCACAGACGAGGTTATACTAAAACGCAAGGTACACGAAAACACAGGACGGGTGCTCCTGCTTCGTTTGCGTGTCGCACCATCCCCAACCCTGCCTCGTAACCCGACGTACGGGAAGCGTGGAGCGATTGTCGTGCTCGAGGTCAAATTATAAGCCAGCAGCCAACCCGCAATACAAGTGTGTAGTATCCTGAGCATATCGGCGGATTTGCATCCGCCGATCGATATTTTTCTGAAGTCGTGATGTAACAACAACTAAGCGGTTGTGTGTGTATATACATCTTGGGGATTTGCAGTTGGTTTTGGTTACTTCACGAAACAATAATTATATTGGGCTGTAGGTACAAACCCGCGGCGAACCCAACCCATCCTGCACACCTTTTGCTCTGTGGCGGCCTTGGCCAGCTTCGCTTCAATGGCCGCCACCAGCTGCGTTAATTCGTCGTCACTCAGCTGCAGCCGGCCGTTGGCAGCATCTGCATGTGCGATACATGTACGGTACAGGATGTGCGGCACGGACGTCACGATCGTGACAGTACGGTACGGTACGGCAGATTCCTTTCAGGAGCAGCCAAACCAAGCGAGCTTATCCCAGCAGCGGCCTCTCCAGCAGCACCCGACAGCCCCAAAACGACAGAACAGCCAATAGAAGTAACAAAACGCAACTCTGTTGGCTACTACAATATATAGAATTGTTGTATCACGGCTACAGTAGGGCACTTGTTTCCTAACCGCTCAACAACAGTCATCCTTTCCATCCCCTCTGCCTCCCCTCCCTCTTTCATTCACGCACACAAACCAATACCCACCCCCCGCTGTCACCTCCCCCCCCCCCGGCTGCTTTCCCCGCCCTGCTTAATCCCACTCTCGGCCCCTAACCCCTAAGCTGATTTCCACAATCAAATCCGTAAGGAACAAACCTTTCGCAATAGCTGCTATGGGCCCCAGTTGCGTCATGGCCTTCGGAACGCGCCCTGGACGCGACCGGAAGCGCTCCGCTAGCAGTTGTCGCCCCGTCGCCTCGTCGATAGTGAAAGGAATATCGCCTTTGGCGGCAGCGCCACTGCCGCCGCCGGCGCCGCCGGCGCCGCCGACGCTGCCGCCGGCATCACAACTGCTGACGGCGCCGGCGGTAGCCGAGGGCTGTTCTGGAGCCCAGGCAGGTCTGGCGGCGGCGGTGGCCAGGGATCCTCCGCGCCATGCTGACTGCGAGCCATCAATGCCTGTGCTGATACTCGTACAGGTAGCCGTACCGTTACCCGTAACAACAGCTGTATTAGTGGAACCGGGCATTGTGCCGGTGCAGGCGGTGATGAGCTGGGCGGTTGTGCGAGGAGAAATGGCTACCAGCTGGGTCAGCCAGCCAGCGCCGCAATCGGGAGGAAGACTTACTTCACTGCCCATAAGGCCGGCGGAGGCGGTAGGCTCGACACCAGCAGCAGCAGCAGCAGCAGCGTCAGCAGCGGCGCCAGCAGTGCCGCTGCCACCCCCGCTGTCGCCGCCACCACTGCGGCGAAAGGACCCTGAAGGTGAACTGGCGCGAGCCGGCGTTGGAACGGCCGCCGCCATCGCTGGAAGCGGCACCGTGCAAGGAGTAGGCCGGCAGGCCAGCTGAGGCGCGCAGTGGCGGTTCACACGGGCAGTCGGAGCCGGTGCGGCAGTATCAGCATCAGCAGCACCGCCGGCGTCAGCATGTTCTGCTTGGCCGTCACTGAGCGAGCCGGCGGCAGGGCTGTCACCCAAAAAAGGTGGCCATGCAGCGGCACCAGCGGCAGTGCTGCTTGGACTTGGCGGAAAACTCCCGTTGGAAGCTCGCGGGTGCAGCAGCGGCGGCGGCAGCGGCAGCGGTAATGGCAGCGGCAGTGGCGGCGGCAGCTGCAACGGCAGCGGCAGCGGCAGCGGCAACGGCGGCGGCCATCGTAATGTTGCATCCGGACCACCGTCACCGCCGCCATTGCAGGTCGCTGCCGCCGCCGCCGCCTCAGGAAACTCTGCAGTCGACCCTGCTGCCGTTGCAGCCGCCATCGCAGCGGTGGAGGGCCTGGGGCCTCCGCCATTGTCACTATCACTGGAGTCACTGTCCCGCCGCGGGTGGCGAGGGTTGTGTTTTGCCGAGCAAGTGCCTTCGGAGCGAAGACCACGTTCTGATCTATGGACCTTTCGTCCGCTAAAGGGTGGCGGCGGCGAGCTATTCAAGTCGGCGGCGGTGCTGGTGCGCTTTCGCACCGATGGTGCTGCGGGCGATGACAAAGGAGCCGCCGCAGGAGCATCCTGCTGTTCAGCAGCTGGCTGCGCATCCCAGCTTGGCACGCTGGTAATCTGTTCGTACGGTATGCCGTTCACGTACTCCGCTCTACTGCCGTACGCCGTGGCTTGGAAAAGAGGCGGGTCAAAAGGCTTGCGCCGGCGGATAACACCGTTCCGCACATTACAACTGCGCGAATGCCCACCTTGGACTAATGATATATCCGTATCATCGTACACTGTAGCATCATTGTACGGCATGAAGGCGCCGTGTCCTGCATCGTCGTACCTAGCACCTACGCCGTGCCATATTTTACCGCGATGCGCAGCACCGTATCTGGCATCACTGCAGAAGCCCATCACAGCGCCAGGTCCAACCGGTGCCGCTGCCGGAAACGTCGCCACGGCCAGTCCAGCTCTGCCTCGAGGCCTTGGCTGTAATTGTTCCAGCGACGTCACGGCCAAGAGATCTCGCGGCTGCATAACTGCCGGGGCCAGTTCCGCAGCTATGTTGCCATCACTGGGAATGGCGCTACCGCTTGTGGCAGCCGCCACTGCTGCCGACGTCACCGCACTCCCCGTCACGCGCTGGTGCTGCTGGTGCTGCTGGTGCTGCTGGTGCTGCTGGTGCTGCTGGTGCTGCTGGTGCTGCTGGTGCTGCTGGTGCTGCTGGTGCTGGTGCTGCTGCTGGTGCTGCTGCTGGTGCTGCTGGTGCTGCTGGTGCTGCTGGTGCTGCTGCTGGTGCTGCTGGTGCTGGTGCTGGTGCTGCTGCGGGCGTTCTGCAGCATCTCTGCCCTCCTGGATATCTCCCTCCTCTCCTTCCTCTCCCTCAGATTCTAACTCCCCTGTAGGCCCCCTTCCCTCCCGCACCTCTGCCTCCTCCTCCTCACCCAGTGCGCCGTCAAGGCCGCTCCGTACTGCCGATACCATCGGGCCGCTGAAACGCCCAAGCAGGGGCCCTAGGCTTGAGCGGCCCTGCAGGGCCGCAGTAGCAGCGGCATCTGTACCGCCGGGGTCATGGAGACCTGGCTGCCCCGTGTGGTCATGGAGACGTGGCTGCCACGGTGTACATCGCTTTGGAAGACTGCTGCGGTTGCCCTCAAAACCACCATCGCCTACAGCGCTGATGAAGCCCTTGAAGGGACTCGGCCTTAGGTGGCGCGCTGCCAGGCGCCGGTGTTGCATGACGTACATGTACTCAGTGCACGCACCACCGGTGCCGCCGTCATCACCATCACCACGACTGCCGTAGTGATAACCGTTGCACTCCGTCAGGTAACCGTTTCCGGAGCCGGATTTGCGTTGGTCGTGGCCCCCTGGAAACGGTGATGCCGCTGCTACTGCTGCAGTCGCCGCCGCCGCTGCAGCGGCTATGGCAGCAGCGTCGGATGACCGTGGCATCCTGTCACTCTCCGTTTCACGTGAGGCCCGCTCAAATCCTTGGTCATGCTGAACGATGCTGTACCTGCTGTACGACACCTCTTCCGGCTCCACTACAAACTCCTCCCGATTGTACGGCACAGACCATTGAGGCATACGGCTGTCAAAGGGTCTGCCATGTACCTGACGTTGGGCCTTTTTTACTGCCATGTGACGCTGCTGCGGCAGTAGCGGAAGCGGGCCCCGGGCAGTAGCATGCTGAATCAGCAGCTGAGAAACCTGGTCGGGGTTGTGGGGAACTGGCGGATCACTCATTGGCGCTCTTGCCAGCTGCGGGCGAGGGGGCAGAGCTTGACGGTACGGTAGTTCCGGAGCTAGGTGTCCCTGCAGCCGATACTGTGGCATTGGCCGCGGAGGTCGCGCTGCAGCCGCCGCTGCTGGCGGGGGGTGTTTGAGTCTGATGGGCTGTCGTGGCCTAGCCGGGAGACCTCGCAGCGGCGGAGTTGGCAACGGCAGTAGTGGCAGCTGCCGTTGGTGCGACAGCTGCCGTGGAAGCGGCAGCTGCAGCGGCAGCGGGGCCGGCCAGGGTGGCTGGTGTGCAAAAAAATCATTTTCAGGGAGGGATGCAACGCCGGGCTTCACGCCTCCGAATTTTAGAAAGTCTGTGCCTTGGAAAGGCGCGCCGCGTGACCTGCCTTCCATTCACAGCCGCTAGACTTGTGACCTGCCATTTTCATTCGTTAAATTGAGGGATTGCACATCTAGATTACTTTCAGTTGAACGGGAATCTAGTGTTTGAGATAGCTGGCGCAGGCAAATTAGGCGAGCTGGGAGGACCGGTGACATCGCCGATGTGTCGGGAACACGAGGTAAAAACGTGCAGGTCCAAGCTTGTCCCGTTTGAGACAGAAATGGAACGTTATGTGAGCTGCAGTGGTATTATCAATGGCGATATCTCTATTCGTGTATTAGCTCTCGGAGAACTACGGACGCTGCAGCCGGTCCTTACTCTAGCCGCCGCCCAGCCAGAATCAAGGCGTAAATGGTTACACGGTCGAGCTTTCAATACGTTCAAAACAATCAGGCCTGAAAAAAAGGTTTACGATGCATGTAAATGGCCGACTCAGGATTCCCCCTTACAGTCGGGATGTAAATGGAGGAGCACGCACTTAAGAATTCAATTCGACAAAGCTATCGCAAAAGCTTTAGGGAAAGACTTTAAGGAGGCGTATAATGCTTTTACCACAACAAGCTGTTGGGATCTTTCCCTTCCCAGGGCGTGGTAGTTACTCTGATGACAAGGTTAAGCATGGCTGTGAGGAGCGCGCAAGTAGCTCACCTCAAGCTGACCGATGGGTTACCTCAACCAGGTGGTGCGAGAATCGATAAAGGTGTTCCTTTGGTTTGCGATATAGCCGTCGAGCCCAAAAGTACGCGCACGTCCGACGTCTTAAGGGCAACTTTCGTCCACCTTGTGCTTACAAAAGAAATCGACTGTCTTTCGGAACACTAGAAGATCACCCCTTCCGTTCGCTTATATAGATTGTCATCAAATTAGCAAGGTCTTACACCTATGTGAATACAGCAATGGCTTGATGAAGTGATCATGTGAATTGTAAATGTTTTGTGCTTAAAGTCTGCCCTGTAGCCGCAAGTGTATTGCAGCGGCTGGGTATGTAGGAGTGTAATCGACATACGATGATGATGCAGGATGTACCGTACAATACAGCTGTGCCAAACGACGCACAAACCTTAACCCATACAATAAAATTTAAATACAATTGTCAGTTTTTAGCTAGATTGCATTCCTCCAGATTGCGCCTCGAAGCAATAGATGCTTTGACGTGGCTGTGGCCAATCAAACTACGTCCTTTGCATATAGAAGGAGTTCGCATGGTTAACGTACTTAAATTGATTTATTTCAATATTTGCTAGTCCTCTCCGAGCCCCTTGTTTTTTGGCGGATTCGCCCACCATCAGCCCGCCACTTACGAGGAGAAACGCGGTTCTGCGCCCCTCAAGATTGACACGGAAATGTCCCTTATATTTCTCAGGCGCAAATTTTTTCTTTTCAAGTAGATCGCCTTGTAGAGAAATTCCCTAGGAGTTCCTCCATTGCCAACGTTTCCTGTCGGATGGATGATAGTCGATGCATCATTATGACCATTGTTATTATTCAGGGCCCTCGAAAGGGTCGGATGGATTTAAAATAAGGCGTGCTTCGATCGGGTTGTGCTATCGCAGCGGCTTTAACAATGCTCGATGCTTACTTCCTGCCAATACGCGAGTGAGATTACGTGAGTTACCAAATGGAGTTACAGGACGATATTTCTACAACATCGGCAAACTTCGTATTTTATGTTATGTAAGCTAAGAGATCAAGCTGTCAGCGCTAGCATGAGGTGCGTCATAACCTTGAACGCCTAAGTAGTTTTTTGAACCAACCGCCCTGTGCAAAAAGCGCTCTTTCGCGTGCGCCCGCAACCCTGCATACAACATACCCACAACACAGCTCCGAAGACAAACAGTGGCTGGGCTTTGCAAAGGCAGGATATCTGTCAGGATCGCGCCAGTTGCCATAATCCTAAGCATATTTCAAAAGATGCAATGGTGAGACCATGTGGCGGCACAAGGAGAAGCCGAAAGGAGCCGACGAAAACCGCCTTCAGAAAGATCAAAGTCGAACAGATCGGCCCGAAGGAATCCATTGCTTGCGAAACGAAAAAATTCAAAGGGAAGAGCTCAAAGGCGCAGCACCAAGTACAACCGCATGAGGTGAAGGTATTCATGCGAACCTCCGGCCGTCGAGCACCCCAGCTCGAAGCGACCGTGTGACTGTCAGACAAACCGGGTTGCGATATACTGTTCGGACATAAGTTTTTACCAACATGGAACTTTGGCAACTATCGACTCTGAAAACATAAAAAATTGCCTGGCTCCCCCATCAATCGGCAGATAACGCGCCCAGCGCACGGCCAGGCTCTCTCATGTGCTCGGCTTTTGGGCTTATGTTACGCGGCTTCGCGCATTTTGCGCATGCACATCAACTGCTTCCGTGAAAGAATAAAATAAAATTTAGGCGCAATAGATGCCTTCCGCTTGGTGCGTCTTTTTGTCGGATGGGAGCAGCAAAAGCTGCCAGTGGCGGGCAGCCGCCGGAGGGGGGCCCTCGTTCTGACGAGTCAGCCCAGGTCAGCAGCATGGTACTGTGATGTAGACTGCGTGGACGGCGTTGCTCGGTCGTCCGGTCCACTTTTTGCTTTACGTTCGCTCCTTTGTGACTCCTAAGCAGCGCTGCCTAGGCTACGCAGTCTTTTCGGAAAAGTTACAGACTCGCTGATAGCTTCTGATGGCAGAGGTTTCTGTTTGTCTAGAAACATTGGGCCAACTTTTTTGCGCCCACCAGTGGCATTGGCAACGAGTTCCTGAGGGCGAATGGGCGGCCGTTTCACTGTTAAAAGCCCAATTTCCGCAAAGACTTGCTAATACGAAGTTCTCTTGGCATGCTGCTCTTAACAGAAACAAAGTGGCGTTTCGGAATGACAGCGTGTGAAGGAAGTTACCCCTGCACAAGGGCCAGCAAGGGCACGCCGGGGGATATTTGTCGCAGCAGTCAAAAGCTGCCTTTCAGCTGCCCTGGAAAACGCCCAAGCCAGCTATACGCAAGTCCGTAAGGCTGGTCGCGAAAACATAAGAGCCAATCGCAGCCTCCGTTCTGCACGATTTGACAGAAGTCTACAAAATTATAAGACACATACGCGCGGAAACTTGCTGAATGTCACTTTACGTTTCTAAATCCCATTTCTGGGCTTGCGTGGGTGCTTTCTTGGGACGTCAGCAACAGCAGGTCGACTTCAATGGATACCGGCGGAGCTCTGTGTCGGGCTGCCGGCCGGCTTCTCAGTACACAAAATGATGGTGGCGTATGGAGGGCGGGCGATGGCATACTAATAGAATATTTCACAATATTACTAAACGCCAAAGTCAAAAGTGTTTGATGTACCGTTTACGGGATTGCAACTCCTCGAGTAGATTTCTCCCTTCTCTGCTGTCGCTTTAAAACAGATGCAATCCCCAAATTAGGGGATCAAATGCGATCCCCTGATGAATAATTCTTCAAGCATAAATGATATGCTTGTTCACCTGTTTGGCCCCTGTTCGGTTTACTTAGCTTTACCGGACTCAGCGGAAATACCAGTTGCCCTGTTCCGAGTACGTAAGAGCCGCCGTTTCCCCGTAAAACCGAAACGTACATTTCGCAGTGACAAATCATCAAGCTTATTCAAACGCTAAAAAATTTACTCATCCAAGATTGTACGCAGCACTTTAACGACCAGTCTTTAACATATTAACAGTGCCAGGGCAATCCTAACGCATGCCTTTCGTAAGACGTGTGAAGTACAGTTACGTTGATTTCGTAACACGGTTACGACGAACAATTATCAAGGCGATTAATGAGTAAGCAACACGCTCCGGTTTATGGCAGATTCTTACGTATACAGGCCCCATGGTGCTCTCAGTTCAGTTCTCTTAGTCTCAGCTTCTTATTGATCTGCTGCGCTGCTGCAGGTAACAGCTCCGTCTCCATATCCATTCCGGTTGGGAACACACACTCATGCATGAGGCTACGAGTCGAAATCCACCGACAAATAATACCGACAACAGAAACCCCAATTACGAAACCTCTTCCTGTCGCCCAACTAACCCCATAGGGCCCCGGGGAACAAAAAAAGCAACTCGCTGTCCAACGGCTCGCCCTGCAGGCCCAGCTTAGCAGCACGGCTTTAAAGGCTTGATTTGAGAGACATCAAAGGAGCCTTTCTCGCGCTATCTTATATTAAAAAATTGCGGGTTGGACTTTAGCAGCTGTTGTTGGCCGCCGTGTGCAATTACCAAATTCGGGGAACTCAAGCCTCCTCCTCTACCGATTGATCTGGGTCTGCGAAGGGGTGCGAGTAGGGTTCCCGGGGTCTTGGCGCAAGATTCCGACACGGTGAACCTATCCCCTCAACCACCGCCTACTTCTGCCTACCAGACTGCCTCACCTGCTTTGGTGCAATAACCTTCCCCCCTGCGCAGGCCTGGCTTTGCGTGTGATAAGCCAGGAGCAATTCAACACGGTTGCCATCAATTTATCTAGAATTAGAAGTATCTAGAACAGGAAAAGCTAGTGTCCTCGATTTATGTAAATGTATGTACCCCAGCCTGCCCTGCTGGTACCACATAGCTGGTCTGGTCTTGGACTTTCCTCGCTGTCCATCTGTGCAGACTGCACATCTTTAACCCCCATCTATCATTTGCGCTACCCGACTCACTGACATGACACACTGAAGACATGGTAAGTTATCACTATCCAGGCAAAGAATCTATAAATTGTCTTACAGGGTGCCTGCCGGTTAGTGATAGCCTGCTAACCGAGGGAGGCATTTAGCTCAGTGGCACAGCACGCTTAGCATGCGTGAGGCCACCGTTTCAAAACAAGTAAGCCCAAATTGAGCAGAGTTCTATTACATTAGTGACAGCTAACAGTGCCTTGGTCTTATCGAATACAAGACAACTGTTGGTGGAAGATGTCTGTGGACTGCTGGAAGGACTGCTGGAAGGACTGCTGGAAGAAGCGCAGCATGAACTGGCGATGCTCTCCGTACACCCCCCCCTTCTGTACCTCTCAACACATCCTTCCTCCATGCCATAAAACGGTTGGTAACCGACAGATTGGCTAGATCGCTTCGATAGGGTACCGTGCACATTACCAATACAGCATCGTGATATGGCTCCAGATACAGTGTCAAGGTGCGATGTCGTGTCCCTGATGGGTTCCAGGATCCATCCCCGCATAGAGTCCCTCGACAGTAGCTGGATGAAAACAGGTGAGGTCACCCCATGTCGCAACAGGTCTCATCCATGGTCGAGGGCAAGACAAGACACAAGCATCTAAAAGTTGCGGCAATCAATCGTGCGCAATTAAAGGGGACGGTGGACGGTGTTTCCATCTACACACTAGGTCCCCATGAGGTGAAGGAAGTGGCCGTCTAGGAATTGAAGGAGTGCTTGGCTTCTGTGGCCAGCCCTGTCTCCACCCAGCCAGCTGAACATGGCCACCTGAGGGAGTACCATGTGGTGATCACCTGAGACTCCCCTGATGCTGCTTCAGGTGGCCATACTCAGGGGAGTGTTAGGCCCCTCAGTGCTGAGTCGGACGCAGGTTCACCGCGAGGGGGGGAGTTGTAATAAGTCATTGTGGGTTCATCCGGCAAGGCAGTACGAGGGTGTACCTGTGCATGGTCAGTGTGCAGGGGGCCGTTCTGGCCCAGACTGAACTTTTAATTGCCTCAGGCCATTGCATATGTGTGTGTATGGAGGGATGGGGGGGGAGGGAAGGGAGGTTCTTCCTGGTGGGCCATACATATCCTGTGGCTGGCTGTATGTATGTCCTGAAATGGCTCTCTTCGGGTGCGGCAGCGGCTTTGAGGCATCCGTTGTAGCAGCTTTACATGAGCAATTGCAAACACATGTATATGTATGTATGTATGCGCTCAAAATGAAACTAACATGTACACTCATGCATGTGTGCGTACACAATGAAAGAAGTCACCAAGGATACAGAAACCCTAACTGCCTAGCCGCTTGCAAATTAGCCTGCTGCTGCTCGTTTGCCTAAATCCGTCTCTCCGCTCCTTCTGGAGACCTCAGCTCCGATCTCAATCTCATCAACATCTGATCCGTGCTGGTGGTGTAGGAGCTGTCCATAGTATGGGATACATATCGTCCACAAATACGCGCCAATGCGCTCCGCCAGCATCTACGAAGACCTTTTCAGCGGCCAACTTTTGCAGCTGGCGTTCAGGTAGGTGAGGTCGTTAAGGTCAGTGCGTCGGCCGGTAGGCTGAAGCAACCCCACACACCTCTCCTGCTGCCTGTCCCATTTCCCTCCTGCTTCCCTCCATGTCCCTCTCCCCCCCGTCCACCTTTAACTCCCGAATCCCATAACCTTCTCCAAGCTCCTCACACCTAACTACTCCCGAAGTAGTCACCCATCACCAACACCATCACCACCAAGGAATGTAATCCCGGGTTCGTTCCGCCGTCCTCTGGTATCCGCCCTCCAGTTTGTACAGACGGACAGACGGGCAAACATGCTGCAGTGAACTGAACTCCCTCTCCCCCTGCAATAAAGCCCATCTCTCCATTTAAATCCAATAACGAAAGCCCAACTCCTTCCTGCCCTTTCCTCTACTTGATCCCTTTCATAGCTTGAGGATTTGCTTTTAAACTCGGTAATACGACGTTGTACATGCATTGAAAGTACGCCCACGTCCTCTTCGTCCGTTCCCTCAATAAAAAAAGGGTTTACAAAGCGGATGTGAACTGGAAGGGCTCCGTCGACTGGCCCTCTTTCACCAGCGCGCTGATCTCCTTGAAGCGAGGGTGCTTGGAGTCGGCGGCCAGCTGGAACATGGCCATCTCGCTGTTTGAGATGAGGGCACCTTGTTGAGCATGTTGGGGTCGCAGATGTCGTGGGGGGAAACAGTATATATCGGATTTCAGAGTTTTTGGGGTATTGGAGGTGGTGTTGGTGGTGCAGGAGGTAGCATCGGAGGGGAGTCGTATACGCATGACGCACGAGGCAATGAGCCACTTGGGCGCCCAGGGTTGAGAAGGGAGTACAGTACGGCAATACGCGAGTGAGCACCATACCGCAAATACACCCCAATAGGTGCCAGAGGAGCGGGTAGGTGATAGGTACGGCAAACAGGTGCCAGAGGAGCAGAGGGGGCCTTATGTAATGCCAGCGTTGTTTTTTTGAAATTAATCCAGACCAATGTCTATTGCCCATGTTGACTGGAGTAGCTATAATGTTAGCCTGTCCATTCTGGAGGTTGTGAACCGCTCCGCTAATTGTTATTGTTATTGGGTTATATCCATAAGTCGTCATGGTTAATAGGAGCTTTCCACACTATAATTATTTTGATTATTCATTCCACCTAATAAAGTAAACGAGAGATCGGTCCAAACAGCTGGGAGCTTAACTGGACACGTTTATGCCGTACAAGCTGGAGCGAGCTCATTCAACCAGGAAAGGGTTCCCGACAAGATTTGAGAGCGAGAAAGGATCGCTTACTTTGTCGATTCCCCACCTCCCTACTCCCCGGCGACGCGGTGTCAATGGTCAATCTCATACACACACAGAGAGAGACACACACACGTGCGCGCACCTAAGGGCGACCAGTAGCTCTCAACACGACACGCGCCGAACAACCCCCCCTTTGGCAGCAGCTTCATTCGTTCGTGGTTTGTCTTTCCCTCTTCCCCCGCCCGTCACCTGCTTGTGCCATCCGCTGCAGCCCCGCCGCCCGGTGGTGGGGTCGTGATGAGGAGATGCCGTCCACCAGCAGGTGCACCTCGTAGCCCCGCTCCAGCAAATCCAGGGAGGTCTGGAAGACGCACACGTGGGCCTCAATACCCAGTAGCATCACCTTGAAGGGGAGGAAAGGGGGATGCGGGGATGCGGGGGATGGGGAGCTGTGCTCTAAAGTGGAGGAGGATTGGCGGGAGGATGTGGGCGCGGGAGCGCTCGTGACTCCACGCGCGGGTAAGGCACCTATTGATGTTTTCACACCCCGCACGCAACAAAACAAGTATTAAATATTGCAGTCTTGCAGAGGGGTTAACAAACATAGGAGCTTACCCACTCCCCCGAGCCTAGCCCTACGGCTATGGAGCCCAACCCACGGTCTGGCTCGTCGAAAAGGCTTTACGATCGCACAGCAGCGGTTACAGATTTGGACGTTGTGTAAGTTACCTGTCGCACATCTGGTTTGGACTTTAGCCATGCGTCCACATCAGGGGTGCACATGGAGAAGAGGGTCTTGGCTATGACTGGGCAGCTGGCCGGCAGCACCCCAGCTACCTCTGAGACGGTGGAGCCCAGCGCTTTGGGATACTGTTCGGTGACCATGACGGGAATGTCTAGCGCGTTGGCAGCCTGGACCATACGCCGTGCGGTGTCTATGACGACGGGAAAGCCCGCGATGAGAGGACGAAATTTCTCCTGGACATCGCAAACGAACAGCGCAGAGCTGTCTGGACGGAGTCGTCCTAGCGCTCGTGCTGCCATTTCGGCAGTTGTATGGACAGATGATAATTAAGGATTTGTTTAGGTTTGATGTTTGCCTAATCTATCTAAGCCATGAAATCTAACTGCTCTGGATAGCTGCTCTGTTTCCGGCTCCGTAACCATGTCCGTGCAATGCGGCAACTAGCTAGGACGCTGTTTCCTGGGCTGAGGATAGCATTTTCACGTCGTCAAGCTTATTACTGCAATTTCAACTGTGGTCATGCGCTGCCTCGGCCCTGAAAAGTTTCGACTTCTTGCATCGCCATGCGTCGCAGCGTCGTTTATTTCGCGCCGTTCTCCTTACCAGGCGTGTGTTTTAGCAACTGCAGCATCGAGCTCTCAAGCTCCACTAACAGATGATACCAGCCAAACCAACTCCGATGACTCCGATGGAGGAATCCGCTTCGTCTACGAGCCCCAGCGGCGCTTTGTCCTTGGCGCCCTGCGGAAGCGACGCCAAAGCCCTCCCACTTCCGCCAAACCTCGGATCGATGTGTTGGTCGAGGGCAACCCGCTGAGCACTTCCCCGTAAGCCCATAGCCACAACTTTTCTCTTCCATGTCCGAGCTCTACACCTCACGTTCCCTCCGAATTTCCCATATCTCTTCCCTTGCCTCTCGCACGTCGAGTCATTGTACATTCTTATTCTAAAGCCCCCCAAAACATATTCACATATGTACCTGTCGGCAAAGATTCCTGAAGCCCCCACTCCATAAGCCCCTCTTCAGCCATTACTCTTTCCGTCACAGCACATCCTCTACGCTGTCCTTCCTCTGTGTACGGCGCGTGCCGTGATGTCAACAAAACACATACATACAGACATAGACACACATACATATATACACACACGCAGGGCTGGCGTGGAGCCCCTGACGGAGGCGATTCGCGCCGACGCGGCGGCAGCGTTGCAAGTCGTACTCCGGCGCAAGGCCCTTTCCAACCCCACGTGGAAAATGCCACGTAAGCATTTCTCACTCATAAAGGTTGAGTTGAGTTGGGGGGACATGGCGTTAGCGGGGACGAATGTAAACTGTGTACGACAGTACGGCAGATCAGGTTAATTAGAGATACGACTACCGCGGGACGCGCGAACAAAGTCCTAGACAGTGGATTGGGGGGAAGAAACGACTAACTGTCGTACAGCCGTACGAGCATACGCGGCGTCTGAGGAGTAGTAGGCACATGTGTTTTTAGGGTGCGGCCTTCACCCCTCAGCCACCCCTCCGCCAAAACAGGCCAGGTTCGGACGGAGCCAGCTAAAGTGCGCTCACCCACCCGTTCCTTTCCCTCTACCTTTCCTTCCCCCGTCCCCTCCTCCTTCATACCCCCTCCCACCACACACACACACACACACGCACACGCAGGTGTGGCGCTGCTGTCTCTGGTCCTGTGCGACGACCCGCACATCCAGGACCTCAACCTGCGGCACCGGGGCAAGGATGTGGCCACAGACGTGCTCTCCTTCGAAATGGACGACGACCTTGACCACCGGGTACAGCTCTGGGGGGGGTTGCTGCGGAGGGGGGGGAGGGGGAGGGAAGGGGGGGGGGGAGGGGGAGGGAAGGGGGGGGGAGGGAAGGAAGGCGAGGAAGGGAACTGTTCCTCATGCGAAACATGAAGGGGTCCAATTCAACTTTGTCCTGGGAAGGGAAGGGAAGGGAAGGGAGGGGAGATACGGCAAGCTGTGTTCGTGTGTATGTATGTAAAATGTGTGTAAACCACCGCATTCGATTGGTCTCTTGGTGGAGCTCCCCATCATGCTGATCCCCCACCCTGGTGTCGTACAACCCCTTCGTCCCAAAAGCCTGCACTGAAACACTAATTAAAAAACCGCAGTAAAACTCTGTACTAAAACCCCGTCTTAAAACCAGCCCTGTACTAAACCCTGTACGGAAACCGGCAGGTGCACCTGCCAGTAAAGCTGATGGGCGATTTAGTCGTGTCACTGGATACGGCTGAACAGCAGGCGGCGGAGAGGGGGTGAGGGCATACCCGGGGGGGTAGGGGAGGTGGTGTGGGGGGGAAGGGGCAGTAAGGGAACGCACGTATGGCTTTTAGGGACGTGTGTGTGGGGTTTGGGGTTGGGGTGGGGTGGGGGGCGTGGGGGGTTGGATGTGTGTGTGTGTGTGGTGAGGGTGTCCGCCGCAGTTATTTGTCGTACTTATGTCCCCCTTCCTCTCCGTTATACTTAGAGTTCTACCACAAGGGGGAAGTTGTCAGAGGATTTGGTAGTTGGTAGTTTGTACGGCAGTCAGTTTCCCTTGCGTCTTGCATCATTTGATTCATGTGACGAATACAGAGGAGAACTTCCTCTCCCTTTTCCCCCTCCCTCCTCCCGCTCAACCCACGTGAAGCCAAACACTGGAACCGTGCCTGTCAATACACACACGCACCCTACCCCCCAACCCGGCCCCCAACCCTCCCATTACACCACATATCTTGCCGTACCTTACGTACGGCAGTCATTCTTTACTGGACGAGTGCCGTATCCTGCTCGTCCACGGCCTGCTGCATTTGGCGGGGTACGACCATGAGCGGGGCCGGGAGGCCCACGAGGCCATGGCGGCGGAGGAGACTGCCGTACTGGCGGAGCTGGGTTGGAAGGGAAAGGGCCTTATCTCGGCTGCAGATGGTGAAGGGGAGCGGGATATGGAGGGAGGGGACGGAGAGGGGCAAAGGCAACGGGGCCTGAAGGGTACGGCAGCGGGTAAGGGGAGAGGCGGCGGTGGCGGGGATATCACGGCTGGGGCGGGTGCTGGGTTTTTGTGGCAGGAGATTACGGGGGGAGGGGGGGGGAAGGGGCCAGCGACAGCGACGACGGTGGCGGCGGGTGGGCAGGATACCCCCGGAGCGGGACGGAGAAGGGCGGCGGCGGGAGGAGAAAAGCATGTAGCGGCGACGGCGGCGACGACACAGCCGCCGCCGGCTGTACGGCAGCAGAAGCCGCCGACGCCGCCACCGCAGCAGCCGCCGCGGTTCAGTAAAGGCGGCAAAAAAGGGGCGGGGGGTAGCAGCGGCGGGGCAGCAGCGACGTCATATGATGGCGGACGGAGCGGCGGCGGTGGCGGCGGCGGTGGTACGACAAGGGCGTATGGTTCGCCGGCGGCGGCGGATACCCTGTCCCGGCTACCTGGATCCGCCAGCTCCAGCTCCGTCGCAGCCAGGCCGTACGGCAGCTGCGCTGGCGGTACCGGCAGTTCAGCGTCGCTGACGCCGTATGCCCGTACATCGTGGTTATGGAGACCATTGTTGGGACGGCGTTTGCCGTATACTGGCGGACGCGCAGTTGCAGGTGCCGTACGATGCAGATGCAGCGCTGTTGCCGGTGGCGGCGGTGGTGGCAGTGGAAATGCTGGCGGTGGCGCTGACGTCACCGCGCCATTTCCGACGTCCGCTGTAACGGCTACAGCCAGTACCACCGCTAGCAGGGCGACAGCTGCCGCCGCTAACGCAGCTGTAGCTACGGATCGTGGCATTGACAGCGCCTCGAGAAGCAGCAGCGGCGGCGGCAACGGTGACGGCGCCGCTAGCGCTGGAAGTACGACAGCGTCTGGACTGTCGTACACAGGTTCCGACACGCGGTCGCTGCCGCGGCGGCCGCGGACACGGGAGGTGGCGATCGTAGCGCTTGACCTCGGTGAGTGTAGTACGTATGTATGCATGTATGCATGCATGCATGTATGTATGTATGTATGTATGTATGTATGTATGTATGTATGTAACCGATACACACACATGCACGCCCCTCTGCAGATGGCACTCTCCTGGACAGCCGCAGCCGCATCCTGCCCTCCTCCGCCGCGGCTATCCGCGCCGCGGTGGCTGCGGGGGTGCTGGTGGTGGCGGCCACAGGAAAGGCGCGTCCAGCGGCACTGGCGGCGGCGGCCTCTGCGGGTCTGGCTGAACCCGGGCTGTTGGTGTGGCCTGAGGGCCCCGGTGTGTTTTTACAGGTGGGGAGGGGGGAGAGGGGTGAGGGGGAGAGGGAGTTAGGAGTTGTGTGTAGTAACCGTCAAGGATATAACTGCTGACGTACAAAGCACCAACTGTCGATGTGCAACGCAAAACAAGGGACGGGGGACATCGGCATCCTAAAAACGCATGCATCGGAAAAAAACACAATGTACGGCAGTTGTAGGAGATCCGATCGCGATATTCAACGCAGCCTTCCTTAAGCCCCGTGTTATTGCCCCCGGGGTCCCCCGGAAGT